TGAACGATTTAAAATCCGAAAATGTGATCCGTGTCAAGGAATCAACTGGAACAGTATCGGAAGCGGATAGCCGGATACGAAGTTAGATTCCCATTGCAGGAAATCGTTGGAAAGTCATTGATCCTGCCGGTTCCTGTCGTACAGCTTTGACATGGGCACTTAGGCCTTCCTCTACACGTTCACCTAGACCTTCGCCTACACCCTCATCTACATTCTGATCCTCAAAATAATGGTGAACACACAAAACGCATTTGTCGACAATATGATTGAGACCCTATTAGAACGTTGTTGGAGAATAATTTATGACATTTGAAATATTCTCTAATGACTTTCTATTTATTCGCCTGAGAGTATGTCGTCCAAGAATACGGTCTTTCCTTTCTTGATCGTACCTTTACTTATTTCAAAATTTTCCGATCAAAATCATATATTACGTTGTCCTGATATAATTATTTTATGTGTCAATTAATGAGAGTCCGAGAAATGGCTACTCTATAATTTTATTTGAATAAACAAATTAAACATATATAATATATATAAAACTGTATTTCAACCTACTAATATTTCATTTCGTCACAATGTTATTTATTGGCAAGCCCATTTTAGCTGTATTTCTGTTCATCATTGCAGAAACATCAGGTACATTATTAGAAGATTATAAATCTGTTTAAATCTCTATCATTTTCACATGAACAACTAATCTGATCAAAGATACTTTAAACAGTCATTTTCTGCGTTTTAGGTAGTTTTTATAATCAACCAATGTTTGCATCAAATGCGTCATGGAACGCTAATGGTACCACTATTGCCAATAGTACTTTGATTGGATCGCATCCCTTTGATATTTTCATTGATAAAAATAATATAATCTATGTTCCTAAACAAGATTCGAAACAAATCATTCTTTTATTCGGAAGAAACTTAACATCAACAAGAAATGTCTCTGCTAATTTATCGAATTCATCAACTATTTTTGTCAAGACATCAGATGATATTTATGTTGATACATATTATTCGATTGGTGGTATTAGTCGAATAACATCAAATTCAACAATTTCAATATCAAGAATGAATTTATGTCATCAATGTTCGGATATATTTATTAGTCGAAATGATCTTCTCTATTGTTCATTTACTGAAAATCATCAAGTTCTAGCTAGTTCATTGATTACTACTTTGGATCCATTATTAATTGTTGCCGGAACAGGTAGTGCTGGTTCAACATCAACTACACTTCGAAATCCTCTTGGAATATTTGTTGATAATACAAATGACGATTTATATGTTGCTGATTGTAGAAATAATCGAATTCAATTATTTAAATCAGAAAGATTAACGGCCACAACTGTAGCTGGAAGTGGGTCAATCAATGTGACAATCGATCTCAATTATCCAAGTGGTATTGCATTAGACAGTAGCAGCTATTTATTTATTGTTGATTCTGGAAATAATCGTATTATTGGTGAAGGATTAAATGGTTTTCGTTGCATAGTCGGATGCACGAATTCATCTGGTTCAGCATCGAATCAACTAAATAATCCTTGGAGTTTGTCTTTCGATAGTTATGGAAATCTTTTTGTTAGTGATCAAGCAAATAATCGAATACAGAAATTTAATTTTAGTAAGTTTAAAATATACTTCGTATAGATGTGCGTGTAAATTGATTTTCCAAAGTTCAAGAACATTTTGATAATCTGAATTAGTCTTTCTTTGTAATAGTACCAAGTTGTTATGATAGAATTAAGAATCAAGATGAAACTGATATTGATTGTGGTGGTTCAAATTGTTCAAAATGTCCACTCAATAAAACTTGTTTACTCAATTCGGATTGTTATATCAACGAATGCAATACAACATCGTACACATGTCAAGGTATAAATAGTCATTCTCTGCTATCGGATATTTTGTTGTAGTGATTTCGTCGCTAGGGAAGTTAAGATAACTATGATAAAATGTGGCTATAAAAGCTGAAAAATTATCCCAAATGATTTTCATTCTAATCTGTCTTCTTTGATTACTCTTTAAAGGAAGTTTTCTAATGTGTAGAATCTGACGAAATCATAATGAACTTCAATGATTCTATAGCTTCTTTCTATGAGTTCCAATGATGGAAAACTGTAATAATTGATAGTGCCATTGTTTTACAAAATTTATCCAAAGATTCAACACTGTTTCTTTTCGAAATTGAGATTGAAATAAATCAATTTAATGATCTGAAATTGATTTCGATTGATGAAATCAGTGCAATATCCTTTGTCCAGATCACAACAATTTTCTGGTACAGACATCGAGTGCGTTGATTCAGCTTCTCTAAAGTCTTTCTTTTCCATTCTAATATTATTGAATGAGTCTCATATTCAATTGTAAAATTTATTTTGCCACTCTAGCGACGTCTGGTACTGCGCGAGGTGGTCATGGCTCCAACTCTTTTAGCGATTTAGATGTGGTTGGTTTGTACGGACGAACCTTTCCAATATCAATTATTTTAAGATGCGGTAGCTATATCGATGCCATTCAAGTGACCTATGAAACGAGTAACCAAACACAAGGTTCAGTAGTTACACAAGCGCCAAGAAGAGGTGGAACTAATACAGGTCCACATCAATTCGATCTACTTCCTGGCGAAAGAATTGTGAAAGTTGACGGACGTAGTGGAAACTATGTTACCGGCTTACAGTTTACCACGAGTACAGGAAACGTAAGTGCTTATTGTGGTGGTTCTAGTGACACAGCATTTACCGAACAGTATCCTGGCTATGTTTTATCATATATAACTGGCAGCTACGGAAATTGGTTAGATCAAATACAGTTTCATTGGATTCCTGCGTGAGCGTAGAATGGACGAAAGTGACAATGAAAATATAGGTGTTGTCGCAGACATTATTTCCATACCATGCATTTGCTTTTTTCTTCTTCTGTTTTTACTTTCTGTTCTCTTTGCGTCTGCGTTATGCTTTCGATGCACCTCAAACTAAATCTATACGTGCAAGTTTTCTTCTCATAATCCTTGATGGTGGGTGATTGTAAGCAGCCATGACGTGTTTCAAACCTATCAAAGGTTTCGTCAGATGGCTGAATACTGTAGGATGATTGAAACAAATCAAGTTTAATTTATAATAACTAAATTTTATATGATTGAATCAATATCAAAGGCAGATACTCTATTAGAAGCATAATTTTGACTAAAGATGAATTGTTTGTAGCCAGTAAACGGTTGATGTGTCAATGATGAGTCTTATCTGAGTCTCAAGGTGGTTCATGAAATGGCGGTTTTGATTATTATTAATATAAATGCGAAAACTTCGGATTTTATTCGAAAGTCATATGTGTTCAGGGGGGCGAACAAAATGATTTCCAGGCAATAAATCAGCTGGAAATCACTAGAAATAAAAAATGCGATTGGAAATCAAGAGATCGCTTTGTTCCCCCTTGGTTCGAACAAAATTCGCGCGCGCGAAACTGAACGACAATGAATCATACGAACAATCATTAGTTGTCTGAAGTGATTAACCGACGAGAGGAGAAAATTTGTAAACCATCGTATGATATGGAGGAATTGGCAACGTTTTCGTTGAATGGCTCTGTCATATCACCATCGATTTCTCACCAAACTCCGATTATTCTTCTCCAATATTCTAACATTCTATGATCCTGTATGTTTTCTTCGATTGCGTCACTGAAGAAAGCGAAAGATCATGTGTTTTAGTTTGGCGACAAGCTTCTTGAACATTTCCGTTTGAATCCATATTACCCGTTTGTACAGACACAGGTATTGACCTTTGAATATCGATATCGCCGTTGGTCGACCATCTATTTCTTGACTCTTCTTCAACTAATCATTATATTTCTAACTGTCTATACTTATTTTCGTTTTCATACGGATGAATATTGGAATTCAGGTTCTGATTTTCTGTTAGCATTCTTGTTCGCATTATTAACCGTATTTGTATGTTTAAATCTATTAGAAAACTTTCAACAACGACGAATTATTCTCTCTCCATTGGATTTTCACGTCTCAATCTACCTAAACGACCAACTAATACGAAAATGTTCGATCGATCGTGCATATATTTGCCTACACAAAATACAATCCTATGACATTATACTCTATCACATTGTATTTATCATTGAGGACATCGATTTCATCCAAATCACTGATTACTTCACTCAGCAATTGCAACTGAGACAAATCGGGAAACGTTTAGCAGAAAAACTATTTCTCAGCTACATCGAAAGTGAAAACTGGATAGGAATCTTTCCAAAATATCACAAATTGCAAACCAATACCAATTTTGTACAAAGGAAAACTATTATCAACTTGTGATAACATTGAATCTTAACTTTTCCGATTTGTTTTCCTTTCTGCTTATATGAAATGTTAAACACAATCAAACTATTCGATGTACGTCTGTTTGTTTACAAAAGAATGTATGTTTTTGTGATAAACAACAAAGAAGATATGTAAATGAAATGAGTTTGAAAATTTGCACATCAATGTGCAACATAATTTGCATATGTGAATGTTACTTTAAGATGTTAAACTTCGATGAGGAGGTCAGTGTCAATGAGTAGTGAAACATTTCATTGATACCATAGCAATGTTTGGATTTACTAGTGAAAAAACGACAACAACGACAGGAAAAACATAACGAAAGCTCTAGATTAGAACAAAAATCAACAAGAAAAGGCAAGGAAGAGCAAGGTGAACTAGTTTAAACGTTTAGAGTACAGTTTGTTTTCAGAGACAAAAGAAGAAACACAAGAGACGAGAAAATAAGATTTCAAATGTGCACAACAACAAAAAAAAACATTCAAAATCAATAATCGGTTTCATTTGGTTTAGTAAATCTACTGACATAGGAATATTAAAAAACCGAGAAAAAGTAGATACCATACATATTTCTTGAATACAGACAAAACTTTTCGAAAAACTACATCAAGAATATTCGTAAGAAATATTTTACACATAAAGAACATATCAAGAAGCTTTGTTCATATTTTTATTTGACGCTGACCACTTTTTCAGCAACAACCTAAATGAAACAAAGAAGAAAGAAGTTTTTCAGAGAAGATATTCACATATTTGATACGTACGCGTCCATCCGAATCTTCTAAGATTGTTTTTTTACTTTCATTACCAGTAGTAAACCATTTTGTTGTGCGTAATTTCAAGTTTGTTGGTGGATCAACCGAAATATCATTAACATCTGAACTCCAAATCTAGAAGAGATTTACATATGTATAATTCAAGAAAATATACTACTGGAATTATATCTTACCGTTGCTGTTGCTCCAGCTTTCAAATTCATTCCTTTTGGAAATTTAAATTCATAATTTTGTGCACCAACTTTGCGTTTGAGAATCCATCCATTCATTGCTACATCTTGTTTGGAATTGTTGAGTAATTTGACAAATTTTGGTTGCGAACTTTCATCATCAATTATATTAATTCCGTCGATCAGTTGAGTATTGACTGATGGATGATCATCAGCGTCGTAACGTGGGCGTTTACGTGATGGATGCGAAGTGCTACTTTCAAACGTAGCATTGGATGCTGTTGCAGTATGCGATGTTTCCATACGTGATAAATTGCCTGAAATGTTGAGTCGTTCTTCTTCGGATTCGAGTAATTTTCTGTAGGTGGCAATTTCTCGATCGAGACCGATTTTGATATCCAGAAGATTTTGATAGTCGATTTGCATTTGCTCGATTTGTTGTTTCAAACGTTCCAATTCATCTTCACGTTCCGCTAAGATTTCGTCTTGTCGTTGTTGAGAACGATGAAGACGATCTTCCAAATCACGACAACGTTGTTCGAGAAATGCGACTTTATCGTTCAATGCATCACGTGACTTCGTTATATCATCAATACGTTCGCGGTAAGACGATAAATCAGATCGATACGTACCAACTTGGTCAACATTACGACGAATTGTATTTTGTAAATCTTCGATTTTCTTTTCATATTGTGCAGCAATTTCGTCACGCAATGCTTGCATTTCATCTTCCGTTTGATTACGTAGTTCTTGTAATTCATGTAATAAACGGTCGTCGTATTGTTGTCGTAGACCATCATCATAAGTCTTAACATCGTAGTGGCGTTGTCGGCGAACTTCTTCGATAGCCTAGAGTAGAAACCGAAACATAGGGAATGAAATCGAAGTTTGATAGATAATTACTGTTTCATGAACTTGAGCGTTGAATTGAAGTTCTTCACGTAATGTTTTGTTTTTATTCTCAAGATCAACACGAAGAAGTGTTTCGGATTCAAGTTGACGTTTCAATGCCGTCACTTGTTTATCGAGATCAGCATTAGTACCACGTAAACTCTGACAAAGACGAATATCAATTCGTAGAATTTATTAGTTTTCGCGCAACTTACCACATTCTCATCAGTTTTTCGATTCGCATCGAATCCAAGCGCATCGTTGCGTGCTTTCAAGTCACTAAGTTCGGTTTCGTATTGTTTCAGACGACCTTCAGCAGCCCGTAAATCTCGTTCTTTACGAGCGAGCCTATAAGACAAAACCAGCATGTTTCCAACAGACATTTTCTCAATTAGAGGTCGACATACTTCGCTAATGCATCTTGTGCTTCGGCATTGGATTTCTCAGCCTCGATTTCTAAGCGTGACTTTTCTCTAGCAAGTTCTTCGATAAGTTTCTTCGCATCTTCAAGTTCACGTTCGTACAATTGTTTAACTTTCGATGTTTCGACTTCATATGTATCACTATAAGATGCAATAATACTCTAAAACGAAAAACAATATTACGTCGAACATAATTCTATTGTTTAAACTAAAGAAGTTCACCTTTAATTCTTTATTGTCTTGCTCCAAACGACGAACAGTATCAATGTAAACAGCCAAACGATTGTTTAGTGTTTCCAATTGTTCTTTTTCTTGTGCACGAGACAGATTCAATCCACCTGTGCTACCTGTTGAAGACGTATTTCGGCTTCGTAAGGATGCTGATGATCGATTAGCCATTGCTTTTATCTGATTTGAGTAATTAATTCAATCTAAAATGTCGCCAATCGTCTGAAAGAAAACCAAATGAGATACAATGTAATGACGAAATGCAGGAAGATAACGATGTCATTTTTGATTTGTGGTTTTTCCCACTGGAAGAAAAGAAAAGGCATTGTTTTCTTTCTCGAGTGCATTAGCGTACTTTGACATCTTCAATGTGCATTGATATTTTACTAATGAGAACACAATAGGAACAAACGTCTGGTCAGGCATGGACATTATTCGCCTTTCTATTGTCTACAGGTCGCCGTTCGCATTCAATATCGTTCACAATGCTTGCTATACGATACGGATATAAAGAGCAGCTTTGTTCGTTTATAACGTAGATACAGAAAGGAAGAAATAGATGATTGGGCGCTGCAGCCAATGAGAGTTCGTTAGTGAATGTAGCGCTAGGTGAACTAAATTATAATTGCAGGTCTTTGTTTTATTCGGAGCAGTAGAAGAAGAGCAAAAGCCTCCATAATTGGTACCTCGTCTCAATGCATCAGATCGATAAGAATCATATAAATTTATCGGTTTCCCAAACATTTAAATATGAATCTTCGACAAAATATCATCCGAATGTAATATTGATCCGTCGATAGAGGTCGATACATACCGTTCACATCTGATCGGTTCTGTTGTTGAAAAGGTTATAATATTCAATTGAATGTTCAGCGATGCAAAAGTAGACAGTTGAAATTCGTTTTTCAATGGCATGAAATTAGTACGACGTTCGATGATTATTCATTCATAAACATACTCTCGTAGAACAATCGTGAAAATGAAGTAAATAATTTCTCTGCTCAGACGGTTACAATAGTACTGAATTTACGTTCGTAGCTAGGCATGTCTCGACGTGGGAATGTTGATCCAGACGATCATTACATTCGAAATATTGTTCAACATATGTGGATGAAAAACGTGTTTTGCGATTTTCGAAAATATTTGTTTTTTCTTTCTTTCTGGAATAAAATCGATTGCACGAATGCTTTCACCTACGAGCTTTTATTTCGCCACCTTGAAAAGAAACCTTTAGCAGCGTAAGTTTGTAGGCTGTTTCATATTGACATCACAACAATATTAGTCGAAACTGTTTTCGATCACATGTGAAGTATTTATTATTCGAAACTGAAGAAATACACAAAAATAATTATCAAAACTCGAATCTGACGAACTGAAAAAAAAACACAGAAGAAGAATAAAAAACCCAGTTATTCTGCATAGGTTTGTTTTGTTCGTTTAACTAGCCTCATCATGCATTAATAACGGTTGATCAATAGACGCTCGTTCAGCTGCAACAACAAGACGTGTTGCTCCACAAACAGCCGCTGGTAACAAAAGAAAGAATGCGCCCGGAATGAGAAACATCATTTCCATTGATATACCGAAACCCATTGTTGCCCAGAGATAGTGTCGAAACCACGGTGTTCGTTCTCGAACGCCAAGTAGATGTAATGACAACGGATAATCAATAATATCGTAGGCAATAATCCATGCAGTTGTCAAAAACTTCAATGGAGTAGTGATAAAGATCAATGGTGGTACAAAGAATTCGATAGATGTTAGGACAATGAAAATAACGAACGAAATGAGTAGAGAAAATGTTGCGATTCGTAAACTTCGCCATACACTTGAGCAAAATGATTCTTCAGGTCGAATGGGATATTTCAATTCACGTTCTTGTGCTCGCACTAGACTTTCCAACGCTGGCGAACTCAATGGTTGAGCAGTTAGAAGTGCAATAATCAATGAAAGACAAATGACGATGAAGTAAGCTGTAAGGCGCAGGATCCAAATACCAACACGAGCTAAACGCGAAGTATTTCTTTGAATTAAACGAGCTGTCAGTATATGCATACCCCAAACGCCTGGTATAGCACAGACAAAAAGAAGTAAAGTAAATATAAGGCATGGTATCAATGCGCGTGACCATGTTGATTTATGTTTAAGGATAAAATAGAGACCTTGAAATGGTGCAAAGATACCCGAAAGAAAGCCAGGTTTCGTTGCTTTACCTCGATTTAAATCAGATAAGATCTGATCAACTAAAGCTTTTCTATCCTTGAAAAATCCATGAAACTTTGTAGATCGTTTCAAACTTGATTTTGAAACAGGTGGCGACAGTATATAAACACACGAAATTGGTTTCAATTCAACCAGACGATCTGTGCGTATGTTCGAATCGGTTATCACAAGTGTCAGACCACGTATCGCCGTTGATAATGAACATAGAAATTGATAACATGCATCTTCATTTGTGAATAGAGCAACATGAGAACGGAGTTCATTGGGAATAAGCTCGTCTTGATTACTTTGTAACCAAATTATATTGGTCGTTGATGACATTTTGATTTAAAAAGAACGAAAGAAGCTTACACTTATTAGTAATGCACACACATACATATATATATATTTATACATTTAATGTTGTTTTTTACTCGTCTTTTTTTTTCTCCTTTTTCTTTTTAAACTTCCAATCAGATTAAAGTACGGCATGTTCCTGACTTCTCTTCATTGTAGCACATTAAATAAATAAATAATGAATGCATTTTCACACTGCGCCATATGCTTAACGTATATTTATGTGAGATAATCCCGAGGAGAAAGCTTATTGTGTTTGATGAACAAGACAAAAAAATGTTATGTGACAACATCTATCTTGTTTATTATTACATCAACGGAGGAGCACAGAAAGCCTATTTGGAACTTGAGAAGCCAAGTTAAAGTGCTTGTAGGCAGATCGGATTGTAGAATATACTTGAAATGTCTGACAGAGTTTTATTAATACTTTTATTTGCGCGACGATAATGCCATATCGCTTACATGGCGTAGAAGTTTAGAGATATAGAACATTTAGACCAGATGTCATGGAATTAGAGGGAATAAAAGTACAGAGTTTTGCGTTAACCGATACGTCCAAAACACGAATAGCTGATGTCTTTCACGGATGAACTCGGATTTGGACCAATACCAAAAACTGGTAGAAATCGAGGAAAACATCTAGAATAAAGAAAATGTTGTTGAATAGTATCGAGTGTTCACTATTAGCAATATCGTACTTAATTCGGATAAACGGAGAATTGTAAGGAGTGAAGTCGAGATTCCATAAACAGGGTTGTTTCCTATTTCGATATTGAATCCTGCTTAATGTTGATCTTCGAGTATAATCTACACATGAAAGTCGTCGGATTACAGATGATCTTCTTCGATCTACAAGACTAGATGGTAAATCTTGTTTGTTAGTTGCTGACGAGTTTCCACCGATTATTAGATTGAAAAATGACTAGAAAGATTGATTTTCAGATGCAAAAAGTTCAGTTTCAGAATAAGATCTCTTTTTACTTTCGTGGGTTCGAGAATTTTACTAGCTGATCGTTGATAATGTTTCCTTCGTTCAGATGCATTGCTATCTACACTGGCTTGACGTGGTAGAGATGTTTTTGTTGTGTTCCACTTCAACGATTGAAAAATTGTTTTTCGACGAAACGATAATTTAGTTTTCGTTGAGTTCGTTTGTGCACCATCGACTTCGCTTGGTAAATGTCGATCTTCAACATTTGATCGAGTTGATGGTATCTGTGTTTCGTCACAAATTTGGTGATAATAACTGCAACGCTGAAGTTGATTATCTCCAGATATTGATGTATTCGATGGACGTGGTTCATATTTTCTTGCTGGAGATAACTCTTTTCCATTATTTGATTGTTCACTGTCGTCGGATGAATCATCGGATAATGCAGCATTGCGCTGATCATTACAATCTGGATTTCCATCAGACGCGCTCAAAGCAGAAAGTTTCAGCTCGATTTCGATCTCTTTCACTTTAATCAGATTTGCGAATGGAAAGTCGTACTAAAACAAAAAGTTATAGAAAGCGAATCAACATCGCGTCAATCGTGTTACTTGATTTTTCGAATTGCCATTACGTTTAATCGAGCGTACAAATTCCCTTCTTGGCGTTACTTCAATTAGTAACAGATCTAATAAACCATCGGCTAAGTGTCCGAACTTCGATAGACCTTGTGGTGCCAGAGACCACAGACCAGCATTGGTTAATACAGCAACATGTAGATATCTATTCTCCAGAGTTTTCCATGGTTGATCGTATGTATCTTGAGGACGAGTTTTCTTACGTAAAGAATACGTGTTACTCAAAGATTTCGTGTAGGTGTCACTTGTTTTCACATCAGTATCATGAAAAGTCTTGAATTCGTCAATTGTGCTTCCTCTGTCGGGTGGCATACATTTGGGACAGCTGAAATTAGAATAATCTCTTTTTGAACGAAACCATGAGATGTGTCTATTTACCCTTGAAAACAACGCGTCATATTGGTAGTTTCTTGTTCTGCAGGAATGTAGCGAATTACAACATCGATAGGTCTATGAAAGATCAAAAAATTAATAATTCATGTTACCAAGAATAATTGCCTTAAATGTTCAGTTGCTGCTGCTTTCCCAAATGACTTTTGGAGACGGTTTTTTGGGCTACACGAAGCATACTGTGTAAAATACTTCAGCGCATTTGCTGCATAACCTGCTGCAGAACCAAAATTAACTGTCACAAATTCAGAATTGGTATCAAATATTGCTGACATATCAATTCTCATTTGTTGATCTAAAATAGCAGCAGTCAAGTCAGAAAAGCAACATAATCTTGAATTTATTTACTAAAGAGTAAATGAAGAATCGGGGTACAACAATCCAACGTTCCAAAAATTGAATGACAGATAATGTTTGTCGTTCCTAAACAGTACAAAGTTTCTTCAATGAAAAAGATAAACGACGAGTTACCAGTCGGAATGATACACAATGGAAATGGAATGGGTGGTAAATCTTGATCTTTGTCTAGTCTACATGCGATTCGATGGTATCATAACAGCTATAAGTAAAAAAAAGCAAGAAACGAATTACCTGGTCCGATTTTCTTGTGTTAAATAGTGAAGTAATCCGTTAATCACATTAACTACTGTACCATCTCCGCCAATTATTATTAAACTAAGAACACGACATGTTTTTAGTAGAAAGAAAAACAGTACCAATATGTCTCCTTTTCTTTATCACCTATTTAGTGCATTGAAAGCAGCTTTTAGATTAGATAATATATCATTAACCGAACAAGCTTCACTAATTTCTGAAATCAACAATTCTTTGATCTTTAACATAATTAACCGTTTGTCGTTTACCCGAATAGATAATGTTATGTTGCGTTCTATCGAGTATAGGTCGAATCTTCGAATCGTATACTTGTCGACTATATCTTGAACCGGAATATGGATTACAGATGACGAGTATATTTTGTACTGGTTTGTCTAGGAAAAGAATTTATTTGGGTAACGGTGAAAATTTCGTTGAGAGTTTCCGTACATTTCGAGATGATTTTCGAAAGAAGTCGATACCATTGATGTATTTGACTTGGTAGATTACTTTGAAAAGAGATGCGAATCTCTTGTAGACTACTATCATCCGTTTTCTCATAGGAGTACAATTCAAATCCACGTAAAGATGTTGGTGAGACACTCGATGTGTTTTCTGTCGATTGACTATCGCTGTCATTTAATAACCAACTCCTTCGATAGTGTACAGGTAATACAGCATAAACAAGGTGTAAATCGACGAAATCGATGTCATTTGAACTCGATGTTCTCTCTTGAGGATTTTTACTTTCTGGAGACGCTGAAACGATATCGATGAAATATTTAATTTAGTGCAACTAATTTAACTTACGATCATCAATTACTTTCGACCAACTCAAGATGTTTTTATTCAGAACGAGTTCAATAGTCACATTGTTCATTGTAAAAAACGCTCGCTCATGAATCTGCTCCAGATCAATAATTTCCATATCTAACAGTGTATTCAGACGACACTCCTCCGCTTTTTTCTCTTCATTTTCTTCGAATGCTTGTTTGACGTCATCTGAACGAGAAACATGGGTATGGTTAAACATTGTACAAACTAAAAATTCGGTTCTTTTCAACAAACTTGCAGGCTTTGATCGGCGTCGATGTGCTTTCAAAGACATTGAATTCGTTTCCCAAGCACTTCTACAAATAGACTAAAGGCAAATATCGATGCGTGAAATAGACTCATACTGTCTACAGAATGACAGACTTTGTTTTTCTTCAAGAAATACTTCCAAATATATCTCTATTTAAAGACTAGTAAAATGCAGAAACCTAGTGTCCTTGAAAGAAATTTTCTCATGATAAACAGACATAAGTCATTGGTTGACGTCTATCAATGCAATATATATACCCTGAATCAAAAAGTGCTCCAAAATAAAGTCCGGATATTCTGGTGCGAACTTATTTCTATATTAGATAATATATAAGCTGAGAGAAAACGCTCATTGCGACGTATCTTTTTTTTGATAGGAAGGAAGTTTCAAGGACTGCAACAGCGGACTTATTATTCGTTCACATGGGGTTTGAGCAGAAATGTGGATATACTGTATTAGAGATAAGTATGAGCTAGAGAAAAGTCATTTCTTCTGTTTCGTAGTTTCTTTTCTTGTTCCGATATTTCTTAATATGACAAATCGGATTTCTTTCTTGTTTTTTTGTTGTTTCGATGTTTTTTCTTGGCTAATTTTATTGGTAGTTCATTGAACAATTTATCGAACGTTCTGTCAAAAATGAATGTCGATTATAAATTGATTTTATAGACTTCTTTCATTGCATCTTCATGTTTCAGTTTAAATACCAGACTGACAAAGACATTGAATAAGCATTTACATCTATTCGACTTACATATTGCGTTTATTCGATTGTGCAGCTGACATAAAGAAGACTTGAACCATATGACTCCTTCATGCAGTGGCTTTGGTAATAATAAAATACAATGGTTGAAAATAAATATTGTTGTCTGAAGTAGATTTTCAGAACATCAATGGCAGCTAAGATTGTTTTGCAATATATAGATATCTTCTCATTCAGATTGGCTGATTTCATAAAAGCTGGCGTATTTATTATTCCATCAATATTGCATATATTATTTTCAGTTATTTTTATATATAGAGAGAAACGAACGTGTTTACGTAGTTTTCTGGAGTTTTGATCTTTGATCGGTATGCATGTTGCACTATGAGCATCATAATTGACTTTTCTTTTCTACTTTTTATTTCGAAATGATCGGAAGAGAAGACGAGCTTTTTGCTTCATGTCGAGCTGCTCGTTCACTTCATAAGAATGATTAAGAAGCATTACACTCATTTTCAAAACAAAAAGCAGTTGGTGGCATGACCATCATACAAATTGACATCATTTGGTTTTCTGCGTTGTATTGTTGTTCAAGTTTAGTTGATAGTTGTGCCAATGAACGAATATCATCTGCATTTGAACTCTTGATTGAATAGGCAACATAACTGTTTGGACCGCCACATGCTCGGGATCCAACACCAACTACTGCACAATCAGCGGATGTTTCACACTTGTTGTCGAGTTGAACGGCTGTCTTCAATGATTTGATGACAGCAGTGAGTTCTTGTCGACTGACTTTGGCATTGACAGCAATACCTAATGTGTGATAACAGTGATTAAAGGATATATGAGTTTTTAGAATAATCGAAAGAAAATACCTAAAAGGAGAAGAGTAAGAATAACTTTCAACATTGTCTCGTTTGTATTTTAGAAATAGAAGAGTCAGACAGATACACTAGTTGATGAGAAAAACTGTTACCTTTTATAGGTGAATATCGAAGTATTAGTGTATAATCGCTTTAGGTAGAAAGATAAAAACAGGTGCTATTCACAAACGATCGAAAAAACGATTAACATGAATCGACATTTCGTATAGAGTTAAACACTTGTTGTTATTCAGATTGGTATACAACTTAATGAATTGTTATTGATTTTGTTTTTTAGACTCAATGTTGTACCTCAGTTGTGTCATCATGAAACTCTTCGAAATTTTACCGAAATGTTGAAAGACTGTGTTTTAAATAGCATATCACGTGACAGACCTGTAATTCGTTGTTATTAATACTTTATCTGCTATATTTTTAAGGATTGCATCTAATCCTTAGTCTAATTGCTTTAGAAAAGAATCGAAGTCATTTATTTTATATAGTTTATTACAACATAATACTTTTTCTTCTTTATTTCGTATTTATAAATTCAATATGACACGGAAATACATTTGCCAATAATTGATTTGCAACATAAAAATAAATTAATATATTAGTATATGAACCTGTTTTCAAAATTTTTATTACTCACTCAAATATTGTGCTGGGCAATTTAGCTATTTAAGTTGTATTTTGTTGTTCGCGGCGTTTCAACTCGTCGTTAATTAACTTTTGTTGCACATGTACAGGTAAAGCCATGTTAACGCTAAAAATAAAAGGGATCACTGATGTAGGTAATCCGGTAAAATCTATGAACACTTTAATGAACATAGTGTCATTAATAATATATCGATTTCGTTCTGCTGTTTGGTCAAGATTTGCTAAAGAAAAGAATTTTGGAATACCAGAAGCGATATTCATAGTTGAGGTAGGACGTTGAAAGCTAGCACTTCGCGTATCAGGTCGAAATGATTCTATAACATGCTTTGGTTGTTTATTTTTATCAGATTCCATCAAAGTTCGCTGATCATAGAGACAAAACGACACTCGATAGGAAAAAGGCCATTTCAACAGCAAGTCATAATTTCCGCGAAGAATGACAAGAAAAAGAGACATATGAGTTCCACGTGCAGTGCCATCGCCGTTCAAATACAGCCGCATACATACTTTATAACCACAGTCAGATGTATAAACAGCTGGGGAATAGATACTCGTTTGACGTTCTGATTGAGCATCATGAATCTTTTCCTGTACAGCGAATATCTTCCAAAGATGTGTTCCATCTAGAACACGATGTTTCATTTGACGACCTTCATACTCAACTTGATGTTTTATAGCTTTGATTTCCTGAGTAAGGACGTTTTGATTCAAAACAAGTCCATCAATATGAAGTGTTTCTATCGTACTTCTTGTTTTTGCATCATTTATTTCTTCTTCTAATTCAGATTGTTCATTGTCCAATCGAATTAGATTGCGATCGATTTGTTCAAGCGTGTCTTTGATTTCATCTACAGTGTCCAACGATGTTAAAAGTTTTTCTTGACAGTTATCAAAACAAGTTCCAAGTTCACCACTGATATTCTCGATTTCAGAAGCAACTTTTGCATTTTCAAAAATATTCTCCGCTAGCGTAGCAAGCGTTTTCTGATGCTGCTCCGATACGTAATGCTCCTAAATTTTAACAATTATTTATATACTTATTCAAAGTGGGAAGAAGTAAATCTAAGGAGTATTTGCCAAATACCTCTTGATGTTGTTCACAACCGTATTGAATCAGTGGACATCGGCGTTTATTCGAATCATCGAACGACAGATTCATACAATAGCTTTTACTATTTTCTCCTAACATATTGATCAGAAAAGTGAAGTGTAATTACATTTTGACTCAAAAATCAAAGATTTTTATAGGATTGCGAAAGGTAATTAGGCAATTATGGTGCAATGACATGGCTCATATTAGTGTTGTTCTGTACGCCCGCTTCTTTTTTTTTAATCTATTCTAGAAGTCAAAATTACGGCATTGATGCAACCTTTTACTTATCGTTTCATGCTCTCATATAATTGGAGTGAATCGTAAACTAATCATATTCCTCAGTAAAGACGTGTGATATATTATAAAAACCCAGCAATATGTATGGTTGGCAAAAACCCTTTTCCCAACTTCTGAGTAGTCTAGACATTAGAAGTAAAAGAAAATAAAAATGCTTCAGTATTTATTTATCTGAGTTTGTTCTCAACGTTGCATAATTCTGCCCGAGCGAAGTATTCTTTCGCCGAAAGACATTTTATCCTGTTATTTTGGCCTCATTTCATCTACTTGTATGATTTATTCACGGTAGTAAAAATCATGTATTCTTTGCATGCATTCTGCAAAATCACAAAAACAACATTTAAAAAAAGCGAAACCTTCTCTCACTATGATGCTTTCCTTTCGCTGCTTGCTTTATCAAAACCATTGATTTTTTCCAAGGCTAACATTAAGGCATGAGTGCCAAGTTTTTCTTTACCATCAGCAGCTAATATATCATAGAGCATTTTGGTTTGTATCAAACCAGGCAAAACAAGACCCATTCGACTAGCTTCTTCTAATGCGATTCCTAAGTCTTTGATAAAGTGTTCAACATAAAAACCAGGATCAAATGTACGTTTAAGTATGCGTGGACCATAATTTGACATTGAAAATGTTTGAGCTGCACCGGAACTTAACACTTGTATAACACTTTCACAGTCAAGGCCAACGCGTTGGGCATAGAGCAATGATTCACACATAGCAATCATACCGGACGAAATCGCTATTTGGTTGGCCATCTTTGTATGTTGACCGTAGCCTGCTTTACCCATTAATCGAACGTTTTTACCCATCACATTGAAGATTGGTAAACAGGCATCGAAAACTTCTTGATCACCACCCACCATGATGGAAAGTGTAGCATTTCGAGCACCAATATCACCGCCTAAAGAATAGAAATGAGTAACAGTAAAGTTCCTCTTATGATAAAACGGCTATAGGAGAAAAGAGCACTGATTAATTAGAGTTTGTAAAACTGATATTTTTGTTCAGGACATACCTGATACAGGAGCATCCAGTGCATATGCACCACGTTTCTTGAATTCTTCATAAATTCGTGCTGCTAACGATGGCTTTGACGTTGTCATATCAATAGATATTTTACCTGGTTCAAAACCAGGAAGTACACCTGTTTTTTCATTAAGTAATACTTCTTCAACATCCTTTGGATAACCAACAATCGAAATAACAACATCGGATTGTTGTGCAACTTCACGTGGTGTTTTGAAAAATGACGCACCCAATGACACGAGTGAATCAGCTTTAGATGCTGTACGTGTGAATACATTGAGTTTATAACCTGCTTTGATTAAATGGCCAGCCATTGAAGTACCCATTACACCGATACCGATAAAACCGATACGTGTCGACGAGGGTGATGCTAATTTCACAACACTCATTTTATGAATCGTACTCTTTTATAATATCTACAGAAATTCGAAGAAAATAAAATTCTGATATGCTAATAGAAACTATTGCGATAGAAAACTTATTCTCATCGACAGAATATTGTTCTACAGAGATGCAGTTTTATTGAACAAACTAGCTGTTCATTTCGTATGCATTAGAAATAAAACTAGAATTTCAAGTCTGTTGATGCGAACACAATGAAATAGAGTTTTCTGTTTATCAAGATATTGTTGGTAGTAGTATACTAAAGGATATTCGAGCGAAAGGTGCAAGTATTATACTAATGGGTAACGGTACTTATCAACAGTAGTAAGAATTGGTTCATTCGACTTTTTCAGTGCAATATCTTTCATTTCTATGTTGTCAGTCTCGATATCCAAACTCATTGTGCATAAATTCGAAAAGCAAAGTGTGCGACTACTTATCATAGTATATACGATATATGAAATGTTCAGCTTTTCGTTTTTTTCTATAAGAGTCCTATCATCTAATACACGATTATATTATCAACGCCACGGTTTCATTTGTTTCTTCTTCGCTCGACCTTTTTTCAGTTACCAAAAACAACAATCTAGAAAAGAAAGATACAAAGTCACAATGACAAACACTTTTCTAGATGATGATTCATTCAGACACTATATCTCCCGGAAAACAACATTTTCAATAAACTATTGCCGAAAAATTGGGTCAATTCAGGAACATAGTTCTGTTAACTAAAAAAACCCTCATCAGATAAAATACTTTCAACTGTTTCAAAGGTGAACATCTATTCAAAGTCAGCCATCATTATCGCTTTTTTTCTCTGCACAGGACCACGATTACTCGTGAGTGTGAATGACTCTACTATTATATTCAGTTTTGATTTTGACATGCTATGAAAGATCAATGATATACGATTTCGATGGAAAAAAAACAGAACTAAGCATCCATTTAATACCTTGTGAAAAACAAATTTTTACCCAAGCCAAGTACGCATTACAAATATTCGTGCAAAACGAACCTACTGATTACTATCAGTCTTTTTACTTCGTTATGTATGTACAGATCTCCTCGACAGATGTCCCTATCATCCAGGAGTTTTTACATGAATACGGTTCTGGTAAGTCTCAGATGGTTACAATGACAGAAAAAATCGATCTTACGTATTGTAAAAACCAGCATGATCAAACGAACCCACCTAGTAGAAATCATTACTGGAGAAAATTATGTGTACCAATAGATGTAAGTGTTATTATAAGGTTCGCATAATTTCAATAGCAGCATTCTCGCAATGAACTTCATATATTCGTGCTGAATGAAATCTTACGAACTGCTGAAAAGATGTAGTTAAGTATTCATAAAAAATCTACTATTTATTTCCCGCTTTTTAATCATTGAATTGATTAAATCAACTAATATTCTCTTTATTCTACGTTCTTCATCTAGGTCCTTCTTCACCTCACGATTACTATCAAATGTTCTCTTCTCTTCTCTATTTTTTCTCTGATCAATTTCAAATTCATTTGAAAACTCTCCTCATAGTACTAATCTTACAACTTGTTCTATGCACGAAATTGAATACCAACGAAGAATTATTAGAACAAACTCGTGCTATCGGCGGTGAATCGTTAGATACATCGAACTTTGTTTTATATATCGATGAAAACAAAGCAAGATTCATCGAAGTACCCTATGAATTCATGAAACAACGGATCCAGGATCAGAAAATGTGGCGTCGAGTACGAGCAAACGATCGCTCATTGCTTGAGAACTTTATTTCAACTTTGTTTTCTATCTTCTAGTGGTCAATCATGCTAAGTGTTCTATGTTTCGTATTCTTGGTCATTCTAATCGCTTATCTTATTCATAATTTTCGCACATTAACCGGCCCGTTCTCTCTCTGTCGGAAGAATGTTAATGAAAATCAATCGGATGATAAAATCAATTCATCGCATACGATCGATTATACTCAAACAAATAATCTTTCCATGTACAAAACAGCAATCGATCCTCGTCAGGTTGTTTCCTTTCAAAGTACAGGACAATTATAATTTCAAGGCAAAATCAAGACGTTTCATCTTCTACATTCAATAAAATAAGCGAAAACTTCCCGCTTTTCTTCATATCTGTCTATTCGTCTTCGTTCTAAAAAAGAGCAAACTTCTATCATCTGAATAAGATTTTAAGAAAGTCATTCGTTAACTATTCTATGTTCATACAACATCATTTTCTGTTTGTCTTCTCAATTCTCAATTCTTGTATCCATGCAGCTATTCATGATGAAGAATATCTAAGCCAACAAGGGCCGTTTGGTTTGATACATTTCGAAAAAAACGATACATATATAGATTGGGTACGCATACCTGAAGAGAATTATAAACAATGGATTTATGCGTTGAAGTTTTGGCGCACGGTAAGCGAAATTCTCTACATAAAATCACGCTTGTCGCTCTCCTTAGTGTTCAATTGCAATCGGCCTGTTATCATTCGTTTTCGCTGCTCTGGTTCTTGCCTATGTTATTCATGGTTTTCGTACAAATTCCGCTGGTCCGTTCAGTTGTTTGGGCGAAGACGTCTCGAATGAGAAATTAGATTTATCACCCGGAAACATCCCGGCTAATCTTCAACAATTAGCATTACAACATCAGTTAAGACTAGCACAACAGCAAGAACAAGATGCACAACGACAAAAATATGAAGCCGAACGACGTCTATCAGCAATGTATCGAAATCCAACCACATCGGCGTTGTTAACCACTCAAACACCGATAAAAACTTAATTCAAGTAATTCTATCGAGAAGTTTTTCATTAGCTTTGTTTCGATCTTACGACATTGGAATACAAAATAATATAAGGAAATAAAAGAGATAAAATCGTTAAAATTTCTTTGCAACTTCGTTCATCTTGTCAAGAACGATATGAGCGTGTCGATCAGCGAATATCAATGCCGGACGGAAACGAACGGCAACGTCACCACAGGCTCCCATTTGTATACCTAAAGGTGAGAATCGAATAGAAACCTTCCAATGAGGGAATCCACTTACCAGCATTGCGCATTTGACCAATGAATTTATCACGTGTCGATGCATCAGGCATATCGAACGCGCAGAATGTTCCACGGCCGCGAACATTCAGAATTAATTTCGAATATTTTCTACTAATATCTTCGAGACCTTTCAAAAGTATGTCACCAGTTTTTCGTGTATTGTCAACTAAATTTTCTGCTTTGACCGTTTTCAATATAGCGTCTAAAACCAATAATTTTGCCGGTTCACCCATCCAGGTATTGAATATACGATAAGGCTACAAAGCAAGAATAATTTGTAACTTGTTGTTCGTTCCACTTTCTTTCAAAATATACCTGTTTTGGTTGAAAATCTGCTTTGGCAAAGTAACCACCGGTTTGAAATTTTTTCGAGAATGTCACCACATCGGGTGGCTCAGGTAAATTGAAATGTTCGTATGCCCAGAATTTTCCTGTTGCACCAAGACCTGTTTGAACTTCATCAATCAATAACGCTGCTCCATTCTATAGTGAAAAGTAAACATTCTGCATTGTCATTTATGTATTTTATCTCATACAGCTTTTGTTATTTTTTGCAGTTTTTGAAAGAATGCCGGACTGCCGTGATAGTCGCCGCCTTCACTTTGAATTGGTTCCACAACAACACCCGCAACTGAGCTGTTTTTGGATTTGTATTCGTGAAACAACTCTTCAATCTAATTCACAAGTTTCTATCTATTGTGTTTTGACAGCAATCGAGAATATACATACGCGTGCTAAACATCTCCCATCTTCTTTCTTATTTTCACGTTCATGTTCTTGTAAAGGATATTTATATCTTGGAAAGGGTGCTATGGGCCAATCAAAACTTGGAATGTCAAGTTTATGGATGGGTTTCGAATGCGTGCATGCAAGTGCTCCTTAAAAAGAGAAACCAATGTAGTTGGTAGAGATATCGAAGAAAACGTTTCTTACCAAATGTTCTTCCGTGGAAAGCTCCTTCGAACGACATTATAGTAACTGGGGAACAGCCCGGTGCTTTGTTAACCATCGATGATTTTAATTCTTCATCGGTAAATGGTTTGCCACCACGCTGTTTGGTGGCATACCAGATACAAATCGCTTTGAATGCGTTTTCATTTGAACACGAACCGCACATCATTGGTTGAACATATTCTAAACCCTTAGGTGCAATCTATAAAAGCAAAGCATAGTGTTTTTTTAATGAGTCATGAATCTTGAATTACTGGTAGAAGTGTTTGATCTATCTGTTTGATAAATTGCGGTGTAGGATGGACACCAAGTGCCGGTCGATTAACAAGTTGACTCTACAGACAAAAGAATTACATTGATTGTAATGCGAAGGAAAATGAAGTCATACAAGATTTTTGGAATCTTGAAAAACTTTTTGAATAGCTGGATGGTTGTAACCTGAAAGGAAAAAATTCTGTTATATGAATCTTATTTCAATTGATCATCATCATTATTACCTAACGGCAAAGAAGCAATTTGCTCGTAAACATCCAACATAACGTTGCCATCAATATCAACAGCGTAATTACCAATTGATTTGTCAATATCAAGAACAAAAATAGTGCTCAAGGCATTCTATAGTAACAAATCAAATTAATAAATCTTCAAGTTAATTGTTTATCTAATCGTTATACTTGTGTCTTCTCAAGCTCATGCATAAATTGCTGTGACTTTGGACCCTACAAAAACAAAAGTTAATCTTGACAAAATCGCAAAAAATATCTTACGGGAATTGTCGTTTTCATCGTTGGTCCCGATGGTTCTTGACTAAGCACGCTGTTCGCTAAAACCATCATTCCATTAGTTTTGATTTCGCTTTCTAAATGAACTCACCTCGACATGGTGCTTGCACATGAAGAAGATTTCGAAGAGCAAAAAGACGTGTTGCTTTCATATCTGCAATGTCAACAAACGAAATCCAAGCGATGCTAACAAGTAACAAAACACGCACACATCTATTCTTTCAGCTTATCGAGCATTAACGCACACACACCCACACACCCACAAGTATACAGAAAAACGGCAATCGTATGAGGGTGATATGTCGGTTTCTATCGGTTTCGTCCGTTTGTTATTGTCGTATATCTAATCATTTTATTATATCAATGCAAATATTGGTCATGAAGATAATACAAGAAAAAGTGCACGGAGTTATTTATTAAAACCACGAATCAAAATATATATAAAAGAAAAAGAAAACGCATCTTCGAGGTATCAAAATCTAGAACAGATTTTCCGAACGACATCTATCGAACAGTACGTGATTGGTTTTGTATTCAACGATTCACACTCTCGTTGGATCGTTCTATAGATTGCAAGGTTTTTTCTTCATTTCGATTTGATTTGACATTAGTTCAATATTGTTTTACAAGTGATGGAGCCAAAAAACTGGTAAGTTCTTTATCTTTTAACATATTCATAAATTCCTGTTTGGAGATTTTATCATCATCATTCAAGTCTAAGATAGCCATAATCTGATAGGCAACATAAGCCACGCTGTGTTTTTCTCGATCAATGTTATATAAAACGAAAAGTGCATGAACAATCTGATCGATTTCATGATAAGTAATAAATCCGTCTCCATCACGATCGTAAGCATTGTAGAGCCAGTCGAGTTTTTCTCGAGCTGTACTTGCATTACTGTGAATGTAAATAGCGAGAAGATATTCATCGAATTGAATAAAACCATCGTGAAAGAGACTGTCGAAAGCGCGAAATAAGAATTCACAATAAGTTTCCGCAGAGTTCGATCGCAGTAGTTTTTGATAGAAAGTAATAAATTCACTTTTAGATAATCGACCATTGTAACAGCGCGATTGAAAGACTTTGTAATAGTGTAAAATTTGCTCACGAGTGAACTTAGTTCGTTTCATTAGATATCCAAGTCGTTCACACGTAAGTTCGTTGGTTGTTGTCTGAAATTTCGACAGATGATCATCTTTCGCTTTGGAATTCCACTGGATATTGTTGAACATAGGTGTAATTAATTCAAGTAGGTCTGTACATTGTTTACATAATTCAGTAAACTCCTTACAGTTTAAATATTGATCACAGTCAACATCAAATCGATCGAAGAATGAATTTAATTCATTCAATCGAGATTTTGTCAAGACTTTTCCATGAGTATCGTATGCGAAATTACATAGATGCAGGAATTCGTGTTTATCGATCTGATGATCGTGATTTGTATCGTAGAGAAAAAAAATCCATCGGAATTTCTCATCGATATCTGTTTCTGGCATACTGACTGCTTTGAAGAATAAGATTTCTTTGAAATTTAAAAGACCATTCTTATCTGTATCGATGTGATGATATAACCGTTCGAGTAATGGTCCAGAATTGTGTAAATGTTCTAATTCACGAGAATAGAGTTGACAAAATTGATCAAAATTAACTTGACCGCGTGGATAATACGTAAGAAAACGAACATGAAAATCATTGACCTGTTTTCGCGTGAAACGAGTATGAAGGACGATATACAACACTTCCCGTTCATCCAATTCTGGTCGTTCGTTGCGAGCTGGATGCAGATTTCCCATGATCTCTCTATCGACACGATTAACTATCATGCTATCGACAGCATTCGTTATTTATACTCTGATGATTAATAATGTCAGAAAAACGTATGGAAGCGTAGATAATCTGAGTAGCTTTTCTTAGGAATATCAGTCATGGAATATGTGGGCGTCTGAGTCATATAGCTTAACGTGTTTTCCTTGTGATGTCTTGATGATACAACACGCGTTGTTTTTCTTCTTTTAGATCAATGTAAATGATGTTAGCTTTGAAACCATTGTTAACGACGTCATCTAATTTGCAAACATATACACATGTACAATCAATAATGACACGATGTTTTCGTTTTCTTTTTGCGTTAGCTTGGAAAGCTGCTATCATGTAAGATCGAAATTCGCGTGTTTAGTAACGACAAATCCCATGTCTTTCCTGTTTTAGTTTTCCATATCTATTCTCATTTGGAACATTAGCTGCTGGTCTACAGATCCGTGTGGATATTGATATCAACTAAATCGATGTTCTTTTCGAAAAGCGAAACAAGTGTTTCATAGTATTTCGTCGACGTATTTTGTTTATTTTCATTGAATCATTGTTCCGATGACAATGATAAGACACAATCAATCAAATATTTCTATAAATTGTTATTCTGGCTACTCATTTCTCTTGGCTAAATTGTGTGTTAATAAGATATTGTCGTCATCATTGTTATCCTAACAATGTTCTCCCTACATCGTTTTGCCAAAGTATTCATGTGAAACAGATGAATCATAGATGTTCTCTAATGAAGCGTGTTACTTCATGATTTATTTTTACTTCAAATTGTGACTTCATCGAAAGGAGGTAATACAATCGCGGGAAAAAAAGAAAATATGTTTTTGTATAACCCTACATTGATTTAAAAGATATTTGTCGAAGATTTGCGAATAGGATTATTTTGCCCGACATTATCGAATTGTATGCCTGAAGCGAAGAGATTCAGCGCTTGACGATGAATACGAATCTTAATTTCAGTACCAGATATAAGCTCCCCATCACACGCCCAATTGCCACGGCGTATTTGGTCCGTATGCAATGGATGAATGAGAACTTCACTAACACGATAGCGTTCAACATTAGGTAAATCTTCGATGGATCGACCATCATTTGCGACTTGCCAGAGAAAACGAAGAAAACCTGTTTGCCAAGAGCGTTTCACGAGAATCAAGTCAAATGTTCCATCACCTAAAATGAATTTTATACATTCCATCAGGCATATTATGTTTACATACCTAAATGTACAAAAGGAGACATTCCAAATTTGCTTTTAGCACATCGCCCAGGCATATTAAGACAATTGATTGTTGTGTATCTTCCTTGACGTTTAATTTGTAAAGATGATCGAACTTTACCACTGTCATGTTCATTTGCTAGAGCGCATATCTCGCAATTTCTGCTACAGAATGCCAATGCTGGTGCAATTAAGTTCTGAATAACTTGATTGTTTTTATTTTCCGTTGATTTACTTGCATTGACTAATTCAGTTGGTTGTGTTCCATGATCCTCATGTTTAGTATTATTCGTTGATGATGATGACGACATCGTTCCTTCTCGGCTCATCTGTGATGAGTCATGAGGAGACAATGTAATTGTTAACTCTGTATGATAAGATCTATTAAGAACAAACTGACAGAATCCAGATAAGTCATATCTTAGTGGGCCTAAATAACGCCATTTATCTGACTGATTAATAATATCACCGAAAAATCCGTAGGCTAACATTGTTGCCAGAAAACGTACAAATCCTTTTTCGTTATGAACCTTAAAACTGACCATAAGACAAAATTCATCAGGAACAGATCAATTAACTTACCGTTGCGATATCAATTAGTAAAGATTCGCCCACGATAATCTGTAGTGCACTAGTCACAGGATCATTCAAACCAGTTGTACCATACACAACAGCATCCGTTGAACCAGCTGGTATAACACCAATTCGTAAATTGGGTCGTTTTATATTAACTTCTCGATCGTCAATATTTAGATTAGCTTCAAGAGATGTTTTCAATAGCAGACCATGGCACAATTCAGCAAACATTCCATCACCACCCACACAAATGAGACCATCATAAGCACTTAAATCTTCGTTTAATATATGGTCTCGTGCATGATTCGCTCGTTGTGTATGAATTGTATCCACAGTGACATTCGCTTCTCTGAATATCGGTAAGATTTTTTTCTCATATACAACAGGTGCTCGTCCTACATAAATCGTCATTCAATCTTCGCCATAGAGTAGACTTCTCTTACCTTTTCCGCCAAAAGGATTAACAAATGCTAGTAAATGGCGTGGCCGCTGTTTCAATGTCGATAAACATAGATTCAAATTAACGCATAATTCATTAGCCACATCTTCTGATTCTACATCGAATTCTAATCTTTTGATGCCCCATCGAATCGAATTTGATACATCGATATAACTTAGTTTCACCGTAAATTTATACTCTGCATGACCTTCGGTCTCTGTACTTTTTTGACCAAGAAACAGACGACTTAGACTGTATGATCGAGGCAATACTGGAGTTCGTGGTACAGCAACTTCAGAAGTTGATTTATTCAATGTTGCACGATTTCCTTCTGTTGAAAGTTCCGTTACTGATATTGGTTCGAAAGTGTTGAGAACATCAGTGCTAATATAAACATTACGTTTTCTTTTCCTTATTGATTTTATATGTTGAACGTGCAGTAAATTGTTAAGGTGAATTACTTTTGGAATATTCGTATTCTTTCTTTTACTTACTGATTCAAATTTGATTTTTGTTAGCGACGAGTCGATGTTGTCAATGTCAATATCAGGCGATGCAAATTCGCTTGTCGCTTGAACTTCTGTCGAATCGGATTGTGCACCATCAATATAGATGTACATATGATGATGTTCATTTTTAATATAACATACTGTTGAGTATAGAACAGACGGCATTTCTTCACATAAAATATCGTATGACGTATCCCTCAAGTTAACTGATTGGTTTTTATTAGTTTACGACTGACAAAAAACATGCTACATACCTGTATGAAACTATACATGAGAAAAATAAGTAAACTATATTTAGGAATATAAGAGAATCACGCAATATTCTGCCTTTTTCCTCTCTACATATTATTGACGACTCGTTTTTGTGCGAGAGAATAGTACGAAGAGAAATATACGAAATATATATATGCATGTCGTTCTTGTCCTCTACTTCTGTACTTTTGCTACACACCTGTCAATTAATATAGTTCTGACGCACGAATTCGTCATCATATTTACAAACAAATGGATGTGTTATACACAGTACATTTAATGTTGACTTTTCCTAATGAAGAACTGAAAAGTATGAGCGCGAGAGATCGATTTGATAAAATGTTTATTTAAATAACCATTAATCACACACTTAACACACAGACGCTGAAGCAAGAAAGAAAAGAACGAAAAAATTGAAGAATGGCGATGTCAATTTCTAGCGACAACAGTGGTCAGTTGGTCGACGAGCATTCGCATTGTTTTTCTTTCTTTCTCTGTTTGAACATTGAATTCGTTGATTATTCTTTCGATGATTTCATCTTCCGCAATACCATGGGGTTATTTAGAACCGATTAATCCAATCTATCCACGCCAGATCTTAACAAAGCCTTCCTACATCATTGGACGTCATCCATGTGATTGTGATATTACTTTGGATTCCATTGAATTTCGACAACATGAATATTTTATTCATTTGAGTTCCAAACATTGCATCATCCAATGTACAAACAATGGTCAGACGGTCATTTTTCATGATACAAGCAGAAATGGTTGTTATATCGATGGGGAACTTGTTCATCAAACAAAAATATCGTTGGAAAAGCACGAACATGTGATGTTAGTCAACAGGCTATTTACAATAGCATCATTTTTGTCTATATGTCTGTATTTTAGATCATTGGCTGTCAAGGAAAATCAAGTCTATCGTTTCATTCGTCTATCGGGTGTATTCAATGCCGTCCAACTTGACGAACATTATTTAAAAGCAAATCTACTTGGCTCCGGCTCATTTGCAAACGTTTACAAAGCGATCTCATCTGTAACGCAAGTCCGCCGTGCGATTAAAATTATCAACAAAGACCAATGTGAAAAACAAATTGGTTCAGGATTTTCCAAATATCTCTATCGAGAAGTGTAAATTGACAGTTAACTGAAAAAGAAAGAAAGAAATCATGGCCTTTTTCTTCGTTTTTAAGAGCGATCCATGGAAGTGTTGATCATCCGTGTATACTCCGTCGTTTTGAGGTTTTTCATGAGAGATCAAATCTCTTTGTTGAAATGGAATATGCTGGCGGTGGTTCATTATTCGATCGAATACATAAAACGTCCTTAATGACCGAAGAAGAATGTAAATTTATCTTTTATCAAATAGCTTGCGCACTCGCTTACCTTCATCGACTTAAAATCGTAAATTGAAAACGAAATTTCTGTCTCAACATGCTATCCTTTTGATTTCTTTTCCAGGTTCATCGAGATATCAAACCAGCCAACGTTCTCCTAATGACCAATGAAAGAGAAACAATTGCGAAACTGAGTGATTTCGGTGTGGCAAAACATGTCTATACATCATCAAGATATTTGAACACCACCATTGCTGGTACTCAACAATTCATGGCACCAGAAGTATTATTACAAACTGGACATTCAACAAACGCTGATGTACGACATTCACCTTTGCGACTCTTTTGTGTCTAAGCAGAATTATTCGATGAAGTTTGTTTTAGGTATGGTCATTCGGTATGACTTTGCTCAATGCTTATGTGGGTGACACCGTCTTTCGCTTACGAGGTATTCGAGCGTTGAACTCGATATCTTATTCAAAAAGAGAACTGAAAGAAATTCTTGTGAAAACATTAGAGACAAATTCATTTGCTCGACCAGATATGACTCAATTGTTGCGTTATCCGTGGTTTCGTGATCAGACATGCTTTGAACGAGTTCAAAAACTTATCTATGAACAAACGGGTCAATATTTGAGATAACTTTAAGATTCATTTTTTTATGATTGTGTCTATGAAAATGAGAATGCTCTTTTACCGCTGATAAGAAAAGATAACTGATTTTGTCTATTTTTTTCGTTTATACAGTGTGATATCAACGATAGTTTTGTATGAAAATCGTGCATTTTCTTTGCGAAAATAAATCAAAGATTTAGTCAACACTATGTCAATATCAATCGAGAAATGAAAGTCAATGGAATTGTGCAGAACGATCTCCACAGTTCACATTACTCCATATCGATCTAATAATTTTCGTAGATTCTTACGCAGACGATACTTTTGATTTATTTTTAAATCGAGTTTGTAAATACAAATTGATTAAAATGATTGAGGGTATGCTAGAATTATTATGTATTCGACAAAAGTTTATCTTGGATACGTGTAAGATATATTAGCGATATGTGCACTCACTGGGTCTTTAAGCACCTAAGAAGAATTAAATGCTAGAGAACAGCTTGATTAGGCATCAAATTAGCTGCGTCAGACCAAGCAGCATATTGCGATCCGTCCATTAAACCAAAATGACTGTTAGTGGAAACCAATCGATGATTTTGTCCACCGATTTTTTCTCCACAATCGGGACATTGACTTTCTTGATTAGCACCACCACACTAAATAAAAAGAGCAACCTGTTTTCTTACATTCTGTACTATCTGGTAAACATATACTTCAGTAATGACATATGGATGACCATTTGGACATTTATACCAATGACCTTTGTTTAGATTTAACGCACTGACAATCGTTATACGTTCTTTTTCATTTATACCCAAACCAGGCAGATTGTTCATATGTTCCAATTTCTTGACAAGAACATCGAATTGTTGTTTGTCCTGTCCAGTAAATGGACCTGTTTTCTTTGTCAGGCGTTGCATTGTGTCGAGACCATCTTGTTCTTCTGGTTTTAAAGTACGAGCCGTAATTTGCGGCATCAACAGACGAATAAGAGTTTCGATGTAGATTAAACGACGAATACGCGCTAGTTCATTTTCGATGTCATTTATTTGTTGTGGAGCAAAGTTTCGATGTTGACGATGTGCAAGCAGATACCGAACGATATGATTCAGGGGTGCGCTCACCTATGCGAAATCGATGCGTAATGAAAAGGAGAACAAAAAAGAAAGCACATACGAAATCTTCGAAAATATTATTGGACAATTTCTGTCGTCCATTAGTTAGAAGTGCATTGATTTCATTGAAGAATATCATAATATTTTCTATAAGTGTTATGATATCACCGGAGAAAAGATTGTCTTCATTGTTCAATATATCACGAAATGTTCGTATTGATATAGGATCCATTTCCTGTAATTTATCGTGAGTTCGATCGAAATCTTTAATTACATGTTTGCGACGTTGTTCTATTTCTGTTTCAGAATGATCGCCCAAGATTCTCTGTTTCACTTTCGCAATCAGATTATGAACATGATTGATAATCGGAGTATATCGTTTACAACGACGAATTTTTGTTTTACATCGAGGACATTCAGGAAAACGGATAGCCACCTTTTCATTTTTGTTATTGATTATATCTTCCACAAATTTGTCCAATGCAGTAACTTCGACTAGTTGATAAAAAATGAAAAGAGAATGACACGACGATCTTTTACTTCAGATAACATACATAAATGTTTGCAGTCGGGCAAGAAAACAAAGCGTGCGTCAGGTTCATCTTCTGTGCCAAAGAAAATCTCTTGAACGATATGTTTATTGCAAACACGACATTGACGAGGACACGGTTCACCGCAAATACCAATACCTGAAATTGAATATATGGTAAAGAATGTTAGAAATCTTGTTTAGAAAATCAATGTTTACAATCATGACCACATTTTAATTTCTTATCACATGGTTCATTGCATGGACCACGATTGCATGGTTCAGAGCACGTACGAGTGCATTCCAAATGTTTACATTTGTAAGCACACGGCTAAAATATAAGCATATGTGTAGCAATAGAGATACTCTATAGTTTTAGTTCTAGACACTAACAAATTGACTACTTCGATTGAAATCCTAGATTCATTTTTATCAACCTACCTCTTTGCAAGGTGTACATAATTCACCACATTTCTTTCGACATCCCGAATGAACACAACGTGTTTGGCATGGCTGTAAACAAGGCGGGCAATTTTCAGCACATTTTGATTTGCAGACCTAAATACAAATAAGTCAACATAGATTTATCTTGAATTTCTGATACTAAAGTTTGCTCACATGTGAACAAATTAATTCCCGTTCACATTTTTGTTGACAGGGAATATGTAACTGACCAGTTCGACACCGTCCACATGTTCCTGCACACTTATGCTTACATGCAAGTATTGTATTACAAGGTGTGAGGCAAGAAAATCGTTTCAATTCTGATGGCGATGAAACGATACGACATGGAACATCATTGATATGATCACAAGGAAGACGTTTTGATACCGGTTTTTGACAGTCGTTAATTGTCGGTGTTACCGCACATTGGAATTTTATTTGATGTCCACAAGGTGTAATGGTTTTGTCAACAAGCACTCGACAAGGATCATGTTGAGTTGGATTGGGAACATGGCATCGTTTTGTACACCGATGAGTACATGGTAAGATTTCATCACATTTCTTTCGACAGACAATTTCTTTGTGACTAGGGAAGAACAAAATTATCAGGCATTGGGCTTCTAGCAAAGATTTACTCGAAGTCATAATTATGACACATTAGTGTACATTGGTGGCCACATTTCAAGCGAGCATCGCACAGTTTGTTACAACCGCCTTCGGGACGTTGCTCAAAAGATTCCGCTTTTTCAGCAATAAACTTGTCGTTCGGATGTCGACGACATGAAAGGCATGGACCTAGTAATAAAAATCTCTCGATTTATTTTATAATCTTCGCACCGAATGGCCTAACCTTTGCCAATTTCACCATTGTCAACTAACGATCTACCGATTTTCTTCCATGTTTCACTGACGTCAGCTAATAATTTCATATTTCCAATAATAAAGAAGCCACAACGAGCACGTGATAAAGCCACACAAATTCGATTATCTGTTTTGAGAAATCCGATACTTCTCTCTGCATTACTTCGTACTAACGATAGTATAATAATATCATTTTCTTCTCCTTGATAATTATCGGTGACCTAAAGGAACATTTTCATCACAAGTATCTAAACTCGAGTCTGATATTACCGTGATACGAACACCATGTAAGAGCTTGCGATGCTTTGATTGTTTAGCGATATACTGTCGTTGGCCGAGATACATAACAAGGATTGTGATTTGTTCGCCTCGATAACCTTGTTTGATCAAATATTCCGCTAACGCAAGGGCATATTTGGCTTCAAATTCATTTCGCTTCGAACTTCCATCTTGTACTTTGGTTTCAAGATTTGTATGATTAATAAAAAAAACGCTAGTATTGATACCACGAACTTCTGGTCGTTGAGTTTTAACACTTTCATGATCCTCCAAATCGTCGTAGAAATGTGTCATGATACGAGCGATCTCCGGACGCATTCGGTGCTACAAAGAATGCATTGAATGAAAACAAACGAATCAAAGGAGACACATACCTGGATATTTAATCGAACATTGGGGAATTTATTGTTAACAAATCGTTCAAATAATGATACATCGATGTGATATTTCGTAGCTAGATTATATACACTTGGATTCGGTCGTAACTGAATATGGTCGCCGATCAAAACTAAATGTTCGCATTTTGTACTTAATGCGGTAATGATATGTGGCTCGAATATTGCGGCTGCTTCTTCAACGATCACAATTTTGTTTTCTAAAGAGAGTCAAATCAAATTCCTAGAAACAAGTTTTTTGTTGCTTACGAAGTTGTTCCAGTACTGAATGATATTTCGCAGCGCAGGTCGTTGTCATTGCAACAATGATACTATCTTTCAAAAGAAAATAGTCTTCATTTTGAAGATATGTCGCCAGATCAGCCGCTGCTTGGTTATACTGTCGTCGTGCATCACGAACGGAAGCATGTAAATAGCATTGATACTTGTATAACCAATAACGATACAAATCGTGACGTTGAGCTAGTGTAAGTTGCCAAACATCGTTGTTGACAAGTCCAATAGTTTCATCAGTTAATGTGGTTGGGTGTTGAAGAATATGTTGGATTAATCGACGACGATTGTACGGTTTTTTCTTCACAACTTGCCATTCTCCTTCGTCATTGTCATCTGCAGTTGTGGTTGCGGAGTTCTTTTTTGGTTTTAGTTCGGATGTTTTTGGTTTTGAAACAATTGATTGAATAAATTCCTCTTCTTCGATCTCGAGTTCGTCACGTCGACGTTGTTCTTCTTCTTCCTCTTCGTTGATTTCTTCTGTTTTCTCGTTGTACTCATCACTTTTCACAGGTTTGTTTACTTGATCTGCTTTTGCATTGCACTCATCGATTTCCACAGGTTTGTTTTCTTGATCTGTTTTCGCGTTGCACTCGTCAGTTTCCACAGGTTTGTTTTCTTGATCTGTTTTTTCCACTGCTTCATCACTCTTCTTACTTTCTTTCTCGTCCATATTCTCGCTAAGATTCAATTCAGACATATTGGTCTCCACATCCATGAGATCATGGAAATCTTCGAATACTTGTTCACATCCAATACCCAACCAATCTAGTAATGCTGCTTCTTCAAGCGTAGCATTGTAAGGAGCTAATAGTGAAGATCGGTGTACGTTATCGATAATATAATTATGGGTAAATGTTGTTAATGGTATAATATTTGTCCGAGAATGTTCGATCTTGTGGCTATGCTCCTTTAGTGCTTCTTCCGCTTCAGCTTTTCTATCTAATATGGCATGTTTTTGCTGATAGATGTGATGAGGTATTGAGCGACTATTACGAGCAGATCGACGAGCGTTCAGTAAAGAAAATGGTTGAATTACTGTATTTTGACATCGATTACCGACACGAACGATACCTAAAAATAATCATTTTTTTCAGTCTATGGCATTTGAAAGTAAATTCGATGTTCTTTACCTTCGCTGATATTTAAACGTTTGATAATTAGTTCCAAAAACTGATCAAGTGCATGATTCGTATGACATATCATCAGGATCGGTGTGGACTGTTCACCCTGTGGACACCATACGTGACGATTGTGTAAAAGCATCTCAGCTATTCGTACACCCAGATAAGTTTTACCCGTTCCCGGAGCTACAACATTAAGCAAATTGGCGTTTTTAATCCGTCGAATTTGCAAATTAGAACTTACGTCCTTGAATAAGTGCAACTTTATTTGTTAGAGCTAGAATCAGCGCATCTCGTTGTTTTGGATTGAGATGTAGCTCCTGGCTTGTTGGCCATTGATCGTTCTTCAGTAGTGTCACCGACCTATATTTAGTTGGAACTCGATCTACTTGTTGATAACGAATCCGAAATTCTTTTTCAACAATTAATGCAGGTGGAACTCTTTGTCCAAGACGACGCTGAACACGTATTTCATGAGAAGTGATAGCTGATTTAACTTCTGACTGTGGATCAACAAGAAGAGGTGTGAAATCATAAGTTGTGTTCGGTGTTACATAATCTGGTGGAATCATTTCGTTTGTTAATTTAAGAAGGAATTGTTCTAGAGGAAAAGTTTGTTCGGCACCAATCTCTTGTAGAGCATTGAGAACAGGGCGATATGCTTCGAAATAAGTCGTTGTTTCCACCATAGTTAATTGATGAGAAGAATCGATTGCATCCAGATCAATTTCTGATTGTTCGAAATTGTTTAGTTTTCCCAATGTTTTAACCTAATACGAAATTCAAACGCGAAAGTTTCTTCAAAACCCGTATGGATACGAAAGAATTTACCGAAACGATGCAGTCTTTTTCAATTGCTGTTCGATCTTCGACAGTTACAAATGCACACGTTTGAAATGCATCGTAAGTCAAAACCAACAGATTTCCAAATATCAATCGTCGACTATTCGCCCATGTAACTCGTTTTACAAATTCAACATCCAAACGCAAATCATAGACAATGCCAGAGCGCGGACTTAGTCGTGGTCCAAGTGAGCGAACATTTTCATAAATACGTATATCGTAATTCTTGTCCTTAGTACCGGAGCGATACAGTTGGATGCCTTGGCGTAATGGGCCGACAAAATCTTCACGAAGAAGACGAAAATGAATCTGAAATTTTCAAAATACAGAATAAACGAAAAAGATTGTCGTCATATTTACATCTAAATATTGCTGAGCGTCGTCATAAACACCGTTGACGATGTTTGGTCGAAGATAGGCTTGTTTTTCCGATAAAATTTCCATGACATTGGGAATGATAGGTAAGAGACGATAATCATCGGGCGGTGGACCAACATCGTGTACTGTTGGTTTGTTTGTTGTAGTAAGTTTTTGTTTTTCTGCTTGCTCCTTTTGTTTTTTCTTGTATTCGATGTTATTAACTCGTTCAACAACTTCTCCTAATATAGCTTTGATTTCTTCTATTTTCTAAAAAAAAATAGACAACTTGTCAAATCCTCTATTCACTACGTGATGTATCTTACTGGAGATGTGGTTTTATTCTTGAAAAAATATAGCTCAAGACGGTCAAAGACTTTCGTTAGATCATCGGCTGAATGTGGTATTAAATCGAGAAACTGAGCGGATATTTTCAAAAATGATTGAATAAATTCAAAGCGTAACTCATCAGTAATAACGTCAGGTTTTATGATTTCGTCGTGCACACCATCGATATAAGTCGTTCGCGGTAGTTTTTCGAAAATCTTCACTATACTTTGTCGAGGTCCTTCGCAAGTGCTAATCTTTTCAAGTAATTTTGTCATTGCTAAGGTCCACTCATAATTCGTCTTCATTCGTCTATCTTTCAGCAAGGCCTTTAGTTCAAAATTTGGATGAAGCATATCCGCGAGAACTTCATCTGGACTTTTATCCAGTAATTCGCTCATCATAGAATATGTAACAGAAGGGTGCGATGGTCTTTGATTGGATCTAACAAAGAGATTAAATAGATTTTAGTTTAATGAATGATTTCAATACGAACACTCTATCAGTCGTTGGTGCATTTGTTGCAAATGATGAACGTCTATTGTTATTTACATTGGTATTGAGATTATGATCATTTGAATTGGTTCGTCTAACAAAAACTCTGGGATTTGAGCCACGATATCCAAAACCACGACCTCGATCTCCATGATTTCTAAAGAAAAAAAGACGTTACCCATGAATTTCTATCGTGTAAGCTTACCTAGCAGAGTCACAGTTTCGGTCACTGCCAGGGCGTTGTTGATTTGTATTGTCGTTCACATTAACAGGAGGATGTGTTATATTAGGTAAAAGCGATGACGTTGCTGGAGGAGGTCGTCCTCTCGAACCACGAGCTCGGATAACGCTTGTTCGTTTAACAGTGTTATTTTGATCATCTGTATTCGCAGACATGATAAAAGAACTGAGTGTCGATATTTAGAGAGACTTCAATTTAACCAAATGAAGAGTATGTGGTTGACGATAGCGTGGCAAAGCAAGATCTGTCTGGGTTTTTTTCAATCCAACAAATACCCACAAAAAAGAGCGATAGTCGAAACGATGACAAGAATGAGAAAGAACGCGGGAAAAAAGCACATGGCAACAAAATACTGTAGTTTTGTTTTTCTTCATTTTTTCTTCCTCTTCTTCACATCAATGAATTAACACGCGAATGTATAGATCAAACAACTCTTATACAAATCTTCTCAAGCCTGAAAAACAAAAAGTACATAATAATTCCACAAAACAATGAACAAAACTTCGATCGAAATATGTTATGTAAATTCAACTGATTAAAAACTACGATTTAGGTCTTTCTACTCCTTTATTGGTAAATTTTCCTCTAATATAAAAGTTGAATTTATAAGTCACCGTATAAACGATCCTTCGTATATTGAACAAATCACATCACATTGCCACGTTTTCATACCATCTAATTGTGGCTGTATTTCTATGAATATCTCACAAGCAATAGCGTATCAAATAGCCAAACAAATGTAATCCTATCAATATATATCGATGCACCATCTCCAGAGAAACCTTACGATATAATTTGCTGTGGCGCAAAACAACAACATGTATGTAATTATTTAAAAACATGCTTCAAGCATCATGTTATTTGTTATTGAATGAAAATTGTAAGAATATGTATTTAACGTATTACATCTGGTTTCGTTAGATCGCCTTGTGAGAGAAAGTAAACCGATAAAAATACAGTCATATTCGAAGGATATCGTTGCATAAAGTTGTCCTTCTTTGAGTCCAAAGAATTAATTCAATGATGTTCTGTAATGAACCATAAAATCACTAGACAATGGTCTATTTTCAATGATCTCTCATTGTAAGGCTTATCTAAATACGAAATCAACTCTGCAGATATTTTTTGTTTCTCAATGCTGAACGATTGGCGGTGTTCATCATATCATTGTTTATCATAGCTGTCATCGATTGACTAAATCATGCGATGAATATTCCGAATAGTTTCTATTATTATTGAGCATGGTGATGAAATATCTGATCTATATAAATATAATATAAAATGCTTTTCGAATAAGAGAAGCACCTATTCAATAAAGAAAACAATAATTTAAATCAATAGAATCGTCGATTAATATCTACTCGTCGGCTGGAGATCATTGTGCATTTTGATTAGACTTTTTTTAATGTTTACTGTCAATCATGAAATGTTCCAGATGAGTATCTCTGTGTTTACTTTTATTCATTTTATACATTTTACTGATTATTAGGAGATTGTATGTAGACCTCGATTGCGTCCCATATGTAATTGATGTCAAACGCTTGGAGTGGCTAGAGGCCTTGATGGATACGGAGTTGTGACGTCAAATACAGACAGAAACCTTTTTGTTGTTAGTACAGCAGAAAAATGCATCCCTTTTTCTTTCCAATATTCCTAAATACATATCCATAGATGATAAAGCGTGGAAGTGTTGTACTAGTTCGTATCGATCTTTATCTATCCTCTAAGAAAATGCGCATCTTTTTTTTGTGGTTGACGGATAAAAAGTATTTTCTTTCTTTCTTTTGCTTCGGATCCAAGTATGTATATCGAACGACGGATGGCCTTCTCTCTTTCTCCTATATTTCCCACGCATTTTGCTGTGATAGAATGAAACGACAACAGACATTCTCCTTCTTGTACTATACATATGAGTAGAGCTATCTTCATCGATCTAACAACAGAGAAAGGAGAACAAGAAAAGAGCAGGAATAGGTATTTCTGATTTCCCGTTGGCGTATCATTTCTTCTCTCTTGTTTTGTTTCTTTTCTTTACGCGTGGTATATCCTCTGCTTATGTACAGATACTTAAAGCATCCTGCTGCTCTGCTGCGACGAAGCAGTACAGGACAAATGTCTCAAAACAATTACGAATGCGAGGAGTTTGTTTATCATTGTTCTGTCAGACGAGTGTACACTAGAGGAAATGAGAGAGACGGTGAGGAAAAGGCAGCGAGAAGGAAAAAATACATCTTTACCATACATAACTTCTACTATCTTTTTTAGCGAAGCTCGCATAGCGGCATCGTTGTCGTTGTCGTCGTCAAACGATTGTATCCGTGCAGAAACGATCCAAAAACGACAATATTCGCATCTTGAGTAATTCATTCCATCAAGCTTTGTCGAAGTTGATTTCATTTGAATTTTGTAGTATCAACTCAAGTATTGTTTTCTCATGGCAGCAATTCCGGATGAAGTACCTCCGACGAAAACTGATGAAGTTGAAGCATCGCCTCCAGTCGCGTCAACTGAGAACGAACCTGTTGTAAAAAATGACGAAGCAGACATCAGCGCTACTCCCCAATCAACAGAGGCGAATGAAGAAAAACAAGAATCAAATCCATCTTCGGACTCTTCAACCAATAAACCAGAAGAAGAAGAAGAAGCTGTCGTATCTCAAGCCGTTAGTCCACCATCGGCGACATCGGATGTACAAGAACAAGAGAACTTAACATCAATATCGTCGAAAGAAACCAATAAAGAAAATATTAATAGCAAATCTCGTGAACAAGAATCTTCATCAACAGCAACAACGAAATCTCGCTCAGTTAACTTTGCTTCAAAAATTGATGAAATCGAGACACCGAGATCTCAGCCGACAAATTCAAATATAAATCGATCAAATTATTCATCATCAAAATCATCACGACGACCAATTGATTTCATCGATGCACTTGTCGAAAGTTATAAACTTGAAACATCAGTTCCTTCTCCGAACAAAGAAGAAAAAAAATATGTACCTAAAACGAATCGTACACGTTTGAATCCCAACTGGCGTGAACATCGAACAAAACGTTTAATGAATAAATTAGAAGAATTAAGTTTATGGGATCGAGAAGAAGAATTGAAAGCCACACAAGCTCAATCATTACGTGACCAAAAATGGGAACAAATACAAGATCGTCAACGTAATCATGATTTATGTTTGGCTTTAATGCGTCAAAGGCATGAAAGTGAAATGGAAAGTGCTGTGTTATTAGATCCAGGTGCAACAGGTATAAACGACGAAAATACGAGTGCAACTATCGCACGTGCCATGAGCTTGGCGTCACCCGCTGAACTTCTTGCGTATGATTTACCCACACCGCCACATTCATTGAAACGACGTCTTCGACAAGAACAAGAAAAAACATCGGATATGAAAACAGCGCTGGGTCGTTATCGACAATTTGAATCAACCATGAGTAATAAATTAGAGAAAATTAACCAAAAATTACAACCAGATCATGAAATTATGCGTGCTTACAGTCCATATCGGACAGCAATCCCGCCAACTGTCACGCCATTGTTCAGCGAAACCTATGCAACATTACTTTCAGTACCTGAATCGCAACCAACAAATAAATACAATCAATATCACTATAATGTTGCTTCACATTTACATCAAGCACAACATTCAGCAAGTCCGGAGTATGAAACACGGTCGAAATCTTATTCAAGTCGTGATGTGCGTGTACCATTGAAAGAACAAGCTAATGATTATAGTTATTATGATGACGAGAATATCGATGAACCTTATCATCACCATCATCATCATCGATCAAATCTTCTTGCTGATGACGAGCATCATGCCAAACATCGTTTGAATACGAGTGAATATCATCCGAAATTTCGTTCAAATGCTCTCGACGAGGATTATCATCGAAAATATCGTTTCAATTCAGTGGACGAAGACTATTCATCAAGACCTCGCCCAAATCCTATCGAAGACGACTATTACACAAAATATCGTTCAACTTTACCATCAAAATTAGATTATAGTCCACCAAGACGAACAACCAGTTTGGTATCACCAACTGCATCAGCGTTATACGATTACACAACAGTTGCGAATGCACCACGTGATTATTCATTTATTCATTCTAGTCAACCATTATCGAACAGTATTCACCTTCGTAGTTTAAATGATGATTTAAATGCTATAACACGTTTTTCAAGTGAGACAAGTAAAAAAATCTTACAAAATGCCACCGATTCAGCTAATGATCTGTCAAGCAAATTGCGTTCGTCGTCATCAATGTTAACATCGAAACATGTTAGCTTTACTGATCGAGATGGCGTTGACGATGATGACTCGTTGAGTCTTGAAGGTTCATCGCGTAATTACTCATCGAAAACAATGTATCAACAACCTGTGGAAATCATTTCACTTTCATCTTCACGATAAAAAGAATTATATTCTCAAGACCTCACTACCTTTTCTTTTTTACTTCAAATATCACCTCTTCTTCTTCTTCTAATTCTTCATTTTTTCTCTTTGTAACGCACGTATTTACATATTTATATCTATCTTAATAGAATATCAAAGCACTTATACAAGTTTTTCTTTAACGAATTCGGAGGATCATGAACGATCGAAAGATGACTTTATCAAAAGAGAACTTTTCCTTATTACGTCTTGAGGACAAACCCCGTAGGATAAAAAAAGCATTTTTCTCCAGATATTTATGCATATGGAGAGAAAAGTCTGCAAATAGACCACGAAGAAGGAAAGAAGATCGTCAAGGACACGAAGAGTTGGAGTGGGAATAGACGTAACATTGTTTTCTTTCTTCAAAAACAATAAACAACGTTCGAATTAGACATCTGTCAACAACTCCATTTATTCTTAGAAAACGTCATTTTCTTCGTAATAAAATTATGTTCCAATCTTCTCAGAACAGATCATAGTCATTTATCTTTCGAAGACACCAACATCAACTGCGGCAGATCCGTTTTCGATTTTTCCCGATGCAGCTCGAATCACATTCATCAAGCGTCTACACGTTCCCGTGCGAGATTTCAATTATTGACCTAATCATTAGTCGATCTGTCACTAACTAAACATTGAACAAAAGAATACAATACGATTTTATGTTTCAGATATATCCATGACCTACAGCAACTGTCCTGGAGTGCGTGTGGCAACAGATATATACTCAATTACATTGCCACTCTTTGAAAGAGCACTCAAGCCATACTAGAGATCTATTTGGATAACGCATCCAATTTCATTGTGAAGAAGAAACATATTGGTGTGATATATATCAACAAGAACAAGAAAATCCTTGTGCTCTCATATCAAAAATCATAAATAGAAGAGGTCAGTGAATGTCCTGAGAAAATGACACATGTGTTTGTCTACTGAATGAAACCCAACATTCAGAGGAGAAATGACAAACAATGATAAATGTGCTAATTATATAACTTAGGATTAGATTAATCATCAGTCAGAGGATATCATTCGAAGGTTTCCACACATCGAACTAGAAGTTTACTTCTTATAGATCTCTCTAGAATGAGTAGAATATGATCGATGGATTATCCAACAAGATACTTATCAGATTGAATACCATTGAACTATTTACAGATGATGCATTTGATCATTCAGTTATTCGATATGCAAAAAAACGCTGTTTTCATATCATCAATAGAAATATGAGATTCTCTGCAAATCCTTTAAGTAAATAAATCACAGAGAAAGAAAGATAACGGTTTGTTCTCTAACGTAATACTCTAATTGTATCACTATTAATTATCTATTCTCGGTAACTATTTTCACTACTTTTTTTTTCAAAATACAATTCACAGAGATAAAACCTAGTCGTATATGCATATTATCTTCAACATCTACTTTGAATACATATACTGTCATCTATTTACATCGAATTCCATCTTTTTCTTCTCCTTCCATCACATTACACTCAGTGTAGACAGTCAATTGATGACGTCACAGACGAATTTTACCATATCAAAATTTGATGAAGTAGATCTTTATCCAAATGGTACATTACCTAATCGTTTATTAAGTCCAATAACTGAACATTCGGCTGACACCCAACAAACATATTCCGATACTTCGAAAAAATCGTCCGAATCTGTTTTGAGCAAAACCAAATCTCCGATCGATGAACTTAACGAAATCTTATTACCAAAATGCCATCAATACATCACATATTTTTATCATATTCAAACGTATCTGAATGTACTACAAAAACATTTCAAAGCTCTATCGATTATTGTGAGTGATCTTCGAAAAGACCGACGTATAAATCATGTTATCGAACCAATCGAAATACGTATGTTACAAATGCATGCGAAACGAAATCAAATCGACAATCTACTCAACAAATCCTCCATAAAAACTCTTCTACAACAAGTTTGTCTTCCAATCAACAAAAAAAACTCTTCCAAAAACTTCTTTTCTCTCCTCAGATTTTATCATCTATTCACCAATCAAAACTCACTGTTGATTACAACGAATTTTTAACATCTATACAATTGAATATGAACCAAAAAACAACTTTAATCGATCATTTGATGAACGAATATCGCTACAAAAAGTACCAACTTCACGAATATACTTCGAAAACTGAACAACGACATCAATTAATAATAAAATTAACAAATCAGATTGGCCAATTTATTGTTGAACATGATAGAATACTTAAACAAGTAAATTCAATATCCATAATTAATGAACATAATCGGCAATGTATTGAATTAACTGAACTCTCGCACGAATATGAACAAGTTAGTCAAGAAAATTATCTTCTAACAGCCAAAGCCGAAGAAAAGCTTCAAAAGCTATCAAAATTCATGTCCGTCAATCATTTTTAAACGCAAACTGTGCAGATAGTCTTTCCGTATGTTATTTCATTATTTCACGAGAAGAAAAAAAGGAATTTCTGCATATACAAAAAAAACGACAATGTTCTTCATTTCGAACAGAGAAAAAGAAAACAGAAAAAAAACAAAGAACTGTTTACATTTGACTGACTAGCTTGTTCCATTGTATTTGGAAGATGCATTCACGATTTAAGTTAGTTTAACTCCGACCGAACGAAGCGGATAGGCATTGTTTGGCGAAAAATCGTTTGTCATTGACACCTAAAATGAGAATCAGATATGAAATAGCTGACGGAAAGATTTCTCTTCGAAGTTGATGATGCAATCCGTTCTATCCACAACCCCAAAAGTAACCATAAAATCATCTCGAATGGACACTTTTTGGTTGTGAACAGAATCTGATCGCTATTCACGAAAGAGAATAATCAAGTCTGGCGTTTCAAATTACCATTCCGCTATCCACTGAACATTGAGAATTTCGATATGGCAGAACATCTGACGTAGTGTTTATCGTTGACTGATGATTAACTATTTTAAAAAGAAAAAAAAACAACGATAGTTTTAATATCTTTTGAAATAGACATACATGTTGCCGATGCGTTCATTGTTAAACTCATATCAAGTAAAGAGTTTGACAATGTTCTCGATAATGGTCGCTCACGTTTATTTGTTGGATAATCGATTAATGACGAAACAACTCCATTTGTTGTCGGTACATCTGCCAGTGAACTCCATGAACCGCGTAATTTATCTAATTCGGACTGAATACGTAATCCTTCCATTTCATCCATTTCCATAATTGCTTCTTTGAGATCTTCACAGAATTTCGATCTATCATGTTCGTTTCGAGCATTGAAGGTGATCAGATTTGTTTGATTAACGTCTGGTTTACGTACAAGACGAATTCCATATTGATAATCTACAAGAAATCCCAACTTTCTCAATAAAAAGCAAATAATTCGCTGTCATTGAACTCACATGTTGTTTCGAATAAATACAAATTCATTCCTGACAGGCGGAATGCTTGTCGAAATTGATATTGCAATTGCTGACGTTTTTTACCCGAGATTTTCGTAATCTAATCAATATGACAAAACCAATAGATAAGCTCCAAATTCTACATAGATATGTGACTTACAACAAGTAGATCATTGAAAAGAAAGACTTCGCGTTGATGTGCAGTAAGCCGTTCTCGCTTGGATAAATCATAAATCTCATACAGACGACAGTAGCATACCAATCGTCGATGCGGTGCGATCAAGGTGGGCTTTTTACCAATAAGTGTCTGCTCGAATTTGGCCACTTGAGTAACATGGTCACTGTCAGGACGAAACTCTTGTGCACGGATTCGTTCGTAAATGCCAGTTAAATAATCGATATCAAGATCTTCGCCATCGTCGATCGCTAGAATACAATTATGAGTAAGAGAAAGACGTCTGAATATGAAGAATGAAGTTAAATATTTGTTGACATAGAAAATTTCTCTTCTGTTTCTTTCTCGTTAGTTTATAGCGTAACAACGAGAAGCGAACGATGAGAAAGACTGGCACTACTACATGCGAATGGTCGATGATTTATAGATGATGATTTTCTTCTTCTTTCGCAACTTACTTGACGTTTTTTTTCTTCTTCTTCTTCTTTTTCTTCTCTTCTGACATATATTTGAAGAAGAAACTATGGAAAAGCCGTTCCCTCTCTCCCTCTCTCTCTTTTTTCTCCCTCTCTGGCTTTTCTCCGGTTCAACGAGACATATTTGCTTGACGTCCGCTTCCCAACTCAACTGTGATTTGTGAAAAGAATCAATCTATAATATAGTATTGTGAAAATTGAAATGATCGATTTTTTTTCTTCCCCTTTTTCTCTTCGCTCTTTTTTTTTCAGTTTTCCATCGATATTCCTTCTCTTAATGAAGAAAAAGAAACGCACTGATTTCTGTTTGTACTTTCCTATCGCCCTCTCTCTCTCTCTTTTTTCCTTCATTGTCGTCGTCTTTTCAACATTAATATTATTAGTGATAGAGAATAAGAACTGTTCGTCGAAGAACTCAAAGAATGCGAACAAAATTCAATTTCGACTAGGAATTTGCAAGCAAAAAGACCTTGATATGATTGATAATGAGAACAAGTAGACGAATGAGTGAATAAGTGAATGAATGCTCGTTCTTGAAAAAAGCGTTTTCTTCCACTTGTCTATAACGAATGAGTGTCGGATTGTGCAGCAAGCGGAAATCATCTTCCTCTCTATGCTTCTCTCGAACAACTAAGCGGATGATGAATCTGCAAAAAAGAAGAAGAAGAAGGAGAAGAAAAAGCAAAAACTATTGCTTAAGTAACGGTAATAGTCAGCACGCAGTTTTTTCCTTCATTTGAAAGAAGAAACTGTCTGATTTGATTTTCTTCTACTTTCATTTTTCCTTCCGCTTACATACATATTTTCAGATGAACGCTTTTTCTTGATTCAACAAAAATGAGATTGAACACTTTGATTTGCTCAGAGAAAATGTCTACTATTGCAAAACATCCATCTTACACATAGTTGTAAACTATCGCCTACGTCAATCTCGATTAAAACAAGCCTTTAGCTATCTTGCATCGTGTTTTGCTTTTCTTGTTCTCATAGGCATTCCATTGTCAGAAAGAAAATGATGAAGAAGAAAACCACAAAAAGAGATGTAAATTGGTTTCTGACTCGACAGTACAGCATTAAGATCTTAATTAAAATATTATTCTAACGCTAGGAAAGAAAAAGAAATTATTACGCTAATCCAAAGTGAAATGCCAGTAGCTCAAATTCTCCAGACATTAGATCGGATTGATGAGGAACGACAAGCAAGCAAGGAGAAGACAAAAATGGATCAACTAAATCAAATTTCGCTTGTCACCATTGGATTGCACTAATCATGTCAATCTTACCAATGTGGATGTGCGTTTGCGAATACAGGGAAACCCTATATTTGTCTATATAATAGGAAAAAAGACAAAAAAATGCTACATAACTATCATCTCATTCATGCATCGATTTTTTCTTTCTTCTTTCGTCGTTTTTTGCCTATAATCTACTGTCATTTCTCTCCCTCTTCATGTCGTTTTAACGAGAGCGCATCGGAATAATGAACTTATCTAACAAAGACTTCGTTTTACATTCACATCAGTTCAACATTGTCTAATCTATCTCATCTTTTTGTTCTCTCTTTCGCTTCGCTTCGTTAACGATATGTCCATCATCGTCAATGACAACATACTATGATGCTTCTTTAGTGGATGGAACATGCAAATCTTATTTGAATTGAAAGACGTAGAACGGGCAAGAGCCGTCATAGAATAGTCAAAATCTAAGCCGATGATTTTGTCTTATCTCGACTCATCGCCGTATTACAGTACCCAAATTTAATCAGATCTTTTCGGATAACTTACACTATTTAGAATTTCTTCTCTTCTATTTGTATTGAGAGAAAGAAAATTGCCAATAATAATGTGATGCTGGAAAAGATATTTCTCATCAAGAATGATATAAACCTTATAATGGGCGAAGAAATAACACTGAATAGGAAGAAGAAAACGAGTCTTACTTCCACATCATCTTCTTGTGTCTCTTTCTATTTGTTTCATGCAGCTGGTCAATTTGTCTGCTCGTAGTACTGTTTACTTGAAAAAAAGCGTTTCCTAATTGATTCTTGTCTGGCTGTGCTCTTTCTCTATATACACATAGTTGGGAAATGAGCAAACAAGTTTAGCTTCTTGAGAATATACGGACGCGTGATTGTGTGTGTGTGTTATCCTTTCGATTATCTATCGATGCGCGCAATGCGGTTTCCATCCGGCTGGTGTGCATGCGTTAGTTTTATGTAGCTCATTAGACGAAGAAATACGAGAGATTTGTTTTGCAACAATCAACAGTAATAGTATCAACATCGAATGAATACACACGATTAGTCAAGTCAACATTCCCCTCTTCGATCCATTTCAGTTCACATACCGGTAAATTAATTTGGCACGCAATTCCTATATCGAATAGATACATACAAAGTATGCAGTATGTCGTCTGTCTGCGTACGTTCTTGAGTTTGGTCATCAGAATCAGAATGGAAATGGAACGGTTAAGAGGAAAATTTTACCTATGCTGTAATCCTTGTTCATCACGAGCGTGTTTGCAAGCAGGCGAACGAGAAGCATAGAAAAAAAGAAGAAGAAAGAAAGTGACAAATTGGCAATCAGTGTCGTTCGCTTTTCCTGCTACGGCAACTAATAGCCTGCAGTAATGGTGAAAGATTCATTATTGCGTCCTATGCGTATTTGCATTGGGAAAAAATTGACATTCACTAAATACATAACCAATCGTCACACACATGCACGCGAGAAAGAAATGTTTCTATCAAATTGCATAATTTCCTTTCAATTTATAGAGATACACACGTCGAAATGCATTTAATCTTACCCCGAAGATTTCTTATAAATTGCTCGAGACGCATTTTCCTCTCGGATTTGATATTCCGACTGTGAAGGTCCGTATTCAGCATGATAATAGCAAAAGCTAATATAAATATGGTGTCGACATTCGACGATGGTGATGTTGTCGGATTTGTTGCACAATAGCGCTGTCCAAATACCTGAATAAAGGAATTCATAAAAGAAGAATGAGAGAAAATCTCTTCTAATGAGTCAATCATTGAATACATATTCGAGTGCACTTCATGTTAGACTCACCTTCATCAATTGTTCGATTTTTTGTGCTTCACCCTTTAATAAAAGAAGAAGAAAAAGCACGCAGAATAGATTCGAATTAATTTAACCATTGTATTGCTTACTGGCAATCGAAACGACGATTGAAACTTTCTCAACGCTTCATCGATAGGCATATCGTCGAAATGGAATTCATTAACAAAAGCACTAAGACAAAAGTTTTGCGATAAGAAGGAAATAGCACGATTGTAGAGCATAACCTACTGTAGAACTTGCATTGCAAATGGATCTTGAAGATTACCAAGGTATTCACCGATCATTTGTCGACTTAGACCTTTTCGTGAAAGTAAAAATCGCGCAACTGCTTGCGGATTCGGTTCAAGGAAACGATGAGCAATCAGATACCGAATGCCACGTTCGGGTTTTCTATTCAAGGAGAAAAAGATTTCATTTAGTTATCCCAAAAGTGATTTGCTCAGAATTTACTTATTGAAAATGTTGAGCCCAGCTCGATAGCAACGTCGACGATAAGTTTCATTCATTCGTATATTCGATGTTCGTTCATGTCCATGTAGAACTGGTTGATGTTGGATAAGTAGTGGCTGTTGTTGATGGTGATGCAATTCAAGACTATTTGATAATGAGCATGAATTCGAACCGCTACTTGTCGATTGAAGACTCATATTATCACGATCCGAGCTGGTTGTTGATGATGGACTTATTCGTTGGGCAAAGGAACGGTTTGGACTTTCAAGAGAAAAGTCGTTAAAGTCGTTTTCGTTTGTTGTTATTGTTAACGAAGTTTTTCTTTTCCAGATTGGCGATGGTAATGAATTCGTCGTTGAAATCAACGTTGGACGAGGTTTTAACGATAAACTACGAAGTGGTGGCGTTGGTTTTTGTGAGGCAAGTTTGCGTAGATGAATAGGTGAATCAGTTAAATTCGTATAGAAATTAAAGTCATTTGTTGGCGAAGGTGATTGCGTTTTAAGTAGACCATTGTGTCCATTTGATGATATAGAAGTTTTATTGTTAGATTCGATTAACATGAATGGTTTATGAGAATTTCCATCGACAAAATCGCTGACATTATCAATTGGTTCAGGATGTTTGCGATGGTTCGGCGGAGTATCAGTGACAATACAAACACGTTTACGATTTTTATTCTGTTGTTGTTTCGTGCTTTCGATAAAGTGTTCGAAATTGATTGATGGCAAATCTAGATGACGGTCAGCGAAATTCAATGACAGAGAATCCGAATTGGTCGGTGTATTCGATGACGATGATGAACTTGTCGAACAATTTAATAAATCATCGGCAAGGGCCGGCACAGCAGATCTGGTTGTTGTTCTCAAACACGGTTTTAATGGTTTTATCATTTGAATTGGATGAGGATGATTCACTATGCTATTGTTGTTGTTATTATCAAGAAATGTACATGATAAACGTTTATTTGTTTTCATCGTTGCCCGTAAATGACGAAAATTCTGTTCTAGTTTATATTTTCGATATGCACGTTGAATAATCGTTGCTGCTCGACGACATCGCAAGCTTCCGCCATATTTACGTTCTAACATTTCAATTCGTTTGTCATGAAGGTCTTGTGATAGTTCATAAGCATTAACAGATCCATTCACTGACGTCGTTGTCGATGCTGACGACGGTGAACGAATGTCAACATGATTTGTCATCTTTGTTACCGACTGTTGAACACTAAAACACGAAACACGAAGATGGAATGAAGCACTTGAACTAATTCTATTGGTATTCCACAGAGAAATATGCATTATCATATCGTATACATATAATAATCATCAGGAACTTGAAAAGAAATTTTTTCGATGATGGGAATAGACGGAGAAGAATGTGAGGAGAAGATTACTAATTGAAAATATTTGTCTGACAATGGGGAAAACGTATTTGTACAGAATATTATTAATTGACTTTCGCCTGACTCTTGATTGTTTTTCTTCTCGAAGAAAACTAAAAAAGATGATTATTTATGAATGACCATACATTCTCTTTTCCTAAATTTCCTTGGGCCTATGATTTACTATTCGTACATTTTCAAATATAGAATCACATAATAGCATCTCAAAACTTTCTTTTTCCAATTTCGAGATTGCATACCCAAGAAATAACCTGTTATGGCACTGACAAATGTCAAGGTTAGTAGCTCTAAGCTCTCTCTCTCTCTCTTCATTGTCAAAATTGATGAATGATGACATATGTATCAGAAGCAGAGATGGATCAAAATATCTTGTCACTACGCATCCTCCGGCATACAGCAAGCGCGTTCAGTCAATCGACATATGCATACGAGAGGATTTTCTACACATTTATCTCTCGATCTGCTTGATGACAGAATTCGTGTGTACACTTTCTAGTGGAAGACTGATTACGCAAAGTTAAGACATGCATAGTTAACCTTGATCAGACGAAGACGAGAAAAAAAAACGAGTTCGTAGCATGCTATCTGAACTAATTGGATGAGGAAAAAACGCTTACATTGTATGATTATTGATATTTGATTGTTGTTCATTANCTCTCGATCTGCTTGATGACAGAATTCGTGTGTACACTTTCTAGTGGAAGACTGATTACGCAAAGTTAAGACATGCATAGTTAACCTTGATCAGACGAAGACGAGAAAAAAAAACGAGTTCGTAGCATGCTATCTGAACTAATTGGATGAGGAAAAAACGCTTACATTGTATGATTATTGATATTTGATTGTTGTTCATTAGAAAGTAATGAAAGTAAATAATCACGCTCAGCCTGCATAGATTTTAATTGAGTTTGTAATTTACTTAATTCATCTTGTTGTCGTTTGATGATGCCATCCTTTTCTTCGAGCAAGGTTCGTGTGCCGCCTGATGGCGGACAATCAATTCGCTGGCGTAGGAATTGTTCCATAATTAAAACATGATTATTTTAATCTATAAATAAAAAGAAGGAAACGTTCGAGAATTTGTTCAATAAAATTCATTTTCTATGCTTTCTCGCGTTTTCCTCTTAATAGGACCAAAAAGGTTTGTGATATAAGGCACCCGTCGGCATATTTTAAGTCATTCTTCGTCGCTCATAACCATGTGAATTTTTTTTTCAAGTACGGTAGGAAATTTACAAGGAAAACGAGAAGAAGAAGAAGGAGAAGAAGTTAAGAAACATCGACACTGATGACAAATGTTCATTGTTCAGCTATCCTTCCGTTATTGAAGGAAAAATGCGAGAAAGAACACGAGGAAGAGAATGACGAAAGAAAAAGAAGAGCACAACGATTTATTATTATATTCTTGTCTATAGTGAATGATGTCACAATGATGATTACAATAACGGAAAACATGATACTAATGTCGACAAAAGAAAAATCTCAGTGAAGACAGAAGAAAAACTGGAACTATAATAATATCTCAAGTGAAAGAGAGGAGAGAGAGAGAGAGAAAAGGCAAAATGAGCAATGCTCTTTTTATAAGATACAAGGACAATTCTAACAGACATTTAATAACTAACTAAGTAACTAATCGTTTTCAATTGTTAATAGAGAGAAATACTTTCCAATCGTCGATGTTATATTCTATCCGTATAATTTGATTGTCTGTAGACGACATTATTATCGACATACGGTCACTTCGGATCGTTCTTATCTCAATGAATAGTTCTTTCACTTCCGGCGTGCGTCATTTTGACAGAGTCGGTTTCGTTTGAACACAAGGTCAAGTCCGAATTAAGTATGGATATGTTGATCTTATAACGAAATGGAATCAAAGAGTGAATGAGTGAAAACGACAACGTTAATTGGATTGTGAATAGGCTTATGCTTGTCGACATCTCATGGGACACATTGGTTACAATCTCCGAATAGCCTTCAGGAGTGAGAGAAAGGAATAGACAACTAACAGAATGTTAGGGTTCAGATTTAATTGAAATCGACAGAGCACAATTAGTCTGCGAAGCGGAATGAATACTACTTCTCATCTATAACACACTGTATCGAAGTATATGAATGTTGAAGAAGCAAAAAACGAGCGCGACCAACCATATTGATTATCAAAAGAAGAATAGAGAAGATTTTGCGTGTCGCCCGTTGGCAGTACTCATTTATTCACTTGATTTGATTGCATCTGTCGTTCTTTCTATCTCTTTGGTTTAGATGTCTATATCATATATTGATGCCGCATTTAACAGATGATCTATCGACGAAGACTATTATTCTAAGGAATGCAGACACTTCTCTTCCGACATCGATTCATCGAAGAGTTAAGTAGTGGATTCTTTCCTGACAGGCAGAAACAGATAGACCGACATATGTTTTAATATCATCAAGAAAACGAATCAAAAGAAAGAAGTAAACATCGGATAAACCTTGAGCGAACAATGATCTTATAAGAATAAGAAATGAACGTGTCTTCGAAGGAATAAAGTCAAATAGAAAGGTATCAAAAACAACGATGTAGCTTAAGGAAGAAATCCGACATTTATATTATGTACATAAATAATTGTCAATGTTCCTTCTCCTCAAACTGTCACATCATTGTTGCTTCATTGCATTCTCTGACATTATGATTATGATTATGATTATTAACATACATGGGACGATCGATCGGTCGATCGAACTGGGCCATTCGCTTTATTAATCATGTTAAAAGATCGATAAACAAAGATACTGGACCTTGTGGCAATTGTTTTTCACACAAAGAAACTTTCTTTCCATTGTCTTACCTTGCTTTATCTATGCGGGAAAAGGCGTACGAGATACGTGCGTTGATGGATGGAATAGATCGAACAATGACCAAGGAAGAACGCGAGAGAAAGACAATATTGATGAAAGCTAGTGAAAATAATGATGAGTGAGGGTAATAATCACACAAGCATCGTCGTCGTTATTTTTCTAAGAGATAGGAAGAAGACGAAGAGAATAATTGCGGTAATGGTACACAGGCGCGTCGTTGCCGATATCTGCGTTGAATAACAGAAAAGTAGCGGCTATTTTTAATGTACCCAGCTAGCCAGTCAGACACCTCGTGTTCATCTATATTTGTATATGCGCATGCATTCGTTCTGTTCCATTGACTGTTTGTTTTATTGCTAGATGCTTTTACTAGCCTCATTGCTACCGTCTTTTTTCTCGTCGTCGCCGTCGCCGTCGTCGTTTTTGTCGTTCTTCCTAATTTCTCATGGCACTGACAATAATGCTGAAGCAGAACGTACAAAAACTGAACTGTACATGACTCTCTTGTCGTGACACGCGTCCATTGTCCGAGCGTGTTCTAAAAAAAAGCGATGGAAAGAAAAAGAGGAAGAGAAAGAGAGGAAAAGACAGGCGATTTTTTTTGTCTTTTACTGTACTCAAATAAACTGGATGCGAACAGATGGTTAACGATCTTTCTTCTCCCTTCTCAGATGAACAAAAAAAGAAGAAGAAAGCGAGACAGAATGAAACAAACGGACATTGAAGAGTGCTCACTGGTCAGTATAGTAGTCAATGTCGCCATTGTATTGACAAGTCAACTCTCGAGTGATTGTCAACAACGAGAGAGAGAGAGAGGCATCACTGAATGACTGATATATGAGAAAAGAAATATGAAAGATAAAACCATCCTATTACAAAGACAGAATCGAATCAAAATTAGATTGATCAAACTATAATATAGGACGAAGAAAGTCTGTCATATTAGATTGAATCATTACGTCAGATGATGTAGAAATGTATGGTAAATGAACGAATGGAATGAAGAGAAATGAGAACATGTGAGAATAACTTCATTCATTCTCCCAAGAGTATGAACAATCAGTATCTATACATCAATGATTCTAACAAGGACAACAAGATCTATTTACGTTTTTCTCTCCAGGGTGAACATGTACGAGAAATTATCTGGCGATTTCTAACTGGATTTCTTTGGAAATATTAACAACTAGAAAAGAGCAATTGCTTAGTTACATGATGATGATGACATGTACGAGATAATCGAACCAATCGTCCGTTTGTTCATTGAGCAGAAGAGAAGAAAGCTGATGTCAGATTTTTTTCAAATCAATTATATAATAGATTAGAAGATAAAACACATATGAAAGAAATGTGATGGACTGATTACTCTCTATCCATGAGAAATATCTTTGATTCGTTATGTGTACAGGCGACTCAGAAGTTTGAATTGAACTGATACCTCACCCTTAAGTTATTTCTGGAGAGTAATCTGAGATGAAGGTGTCGTGCTATCTGTGTAAGATTATTCATTTCCTCGACGAAGTTTTTTTGGTTAAAGAGCACCTTGATATGCCGAAAAAGTGTCCTAAACTATACATTGAATGCTGGAATTCTCTAAAATCGATAACATATTTAATTTTCACCAGGCATGGAAAGCATACTTAACGGATTTCTTTCTTTTTCAAACATGAATAGAACATTAGATATGTAACTTAGACGTTGAATAAATTCAACGTTAATTTGCCTAATTTTTTCTGTTGCAATGGAATTCACAACGAGTTCTATTTCAAACGAGAAGAAAGTATCGAGTAACGAGAAGAGTGCAACACGCCACACACACTTGACTTGTGTCAGAATTTATATGAGCGAAATCATACAATGTTGAAAGTACCGCTCGTCGATTAAATAGCATGATTATTCGTATTTTCCTGTTTTTGAATAGATTTTCATTCGAGAATGTATTTAGTCCAAAGGTGCTACATGATCTAATACACCCGTGGCATATTTATGTATCGAGTGACAAGATTTGTGAAGTTCTTTGATTAAATTACCAAATTCACACTCATGATGTTGCTCGGAACACTCCAGTAGCTAGAGTTTTCTGATGGACAAATAGATACAACTTGATTCATATCAGTTTTCACGAACTAGTTGTCATATTTATCTACTATACTGAATAAATAGGACACTGATGTTATACATAACGGTTCATCTGTCTTCAGCAACCCCGAAGGAATTACAAATATGGTTTTCATTTCTTAAGCAATCTGAAGTTGTAGTCAATAGTCCTTTGACTTCTTCTTCATTGAACCACCTGATGTAACAGGTTTCGTACGACAAGCAGATGAATATCGAATCGAGACAATCAATCGTGTAAAACAAGAATATTAATTTATCAAAAAAAAAAAATCAAATCAAGGCAATGGAATCATTGGAATATGTTGTAAAAAATTACAAAAAAATGTATGCGATAATCACTAACATAGTAACTCAATATTGCCATTTTCTGTGCCGAAGAGTAAAAGACGATTTTCAGGAAATAAAGCCATTGATGAAACTGTGCCTTTGACATTTTCGGATTGAAGTCGCGTTATTTGACAATCCATCTGTTAACAGAGAAAGGAAGACATCAAAAGAACAGATAATGAATAATTACCTGTGCTCCGCCTTTCATATTGGAATAAATACACAATTTATTCGTCTGTGTAGCAACGATCACTTCCCCACTGCGAGTTGTTAAGACGAATGGAGCTGGATCGACATGCGCTATAGAATATAAGAATAGTTGCTTTTATCCGAAAAAGATCATAGATTACATTTGAGTGATGTTGGAGTTGCTTGAACTGACTCTTTTGTATTCCAGAGAAATATGGAACCATCACCTGAACTGGTAAAAAATCGATTACGGCTATAGAAGTTTGTCTACAGAATGAGAAATGAGTAATATATTTGAGAACTTGGCGACATTACCTTTAAAACTTCGCCTTCTGGTACTTTTAATGTTCTTAAGATGCTACCGGAACGCACATCAAATACTGATACTGTACCCGTAGAAAATCCAATGATAGCAGACGTGGCATTCGGGCTTATTGCTAGTGTCTTCACTTGACCTAGTGCATATGTATTCGTAGATATGTTGAAGCAAACCGAGACATACTTACCGCCCGTAGCTAAGGTAGTTTTCCATTCATAAGCAAGTGCTTTT